ATTGCATTTATATACCATTTATGTTATACACTCCTTATATACCCTTATATTATATTGAGCTTATGGTACCTGTATATTTATAAAAGAGCAAATTTATGTTTATTTCTATGTTCATTTATAATGGTTTTATATATACATATCTACCCAAATACATAATATATTGTGCATTGTAAGTATTGCCTACATTTATTGCATTTTATAGAAAAAAAAAACAAAATATAAATTTTTTTATGTAATTATCACAGGTATGTGCATAGGATATGTTAAAAAAATTTTTATTATTTTAAGAAATAAAAAAAATAAAAATTGGAATATTGGAAAAATTTTTATTAAAATAAACATAAATGGTTAATAAAAATATGCACATCATATATAAGTTAAAAAACATCCCGCAAAATTACAGTATTCAAAATGAAAATTCTACAGTATTATGCTATAGGGATGACCATTAAATATCATAAAATTAGAAATAGTTCGGCCTTTGATTGGAATGGGTAAGGTAAAAGAAGAGTGAGTAGACACAAAGAAACGTGGTGTAAGTCAAAAAGAAATAAGAGAAGACTGTACAACATGATCCGGAATAAAATAATTAGAGCAATACAGGATTATATGGGAAGTTTTGCAGATGTCATATGAATTCAAAGAGAAAAAAGGAATTATAAAAATTATACAGGAAAAGTGTTCTTGGAAATTTTTCGTTGTCCGTTGTTCAGCTGAATTTGTTTGATGTATCAAAATTGGTCTACTTTACAATTGTTAGTAAATTAACCATAATTTCATTCGATAATAGACACAATTTTAATGTTTTAATTGTACCCCACAATCTTTCAAAATCGTTATGGTCATTGAATTAATTGTTAATTGTTACCATTTGGAAGTTTAAATTTTGATACATTATTTAGTACCTCCATGTTCGGATTAATTTATGATAATTCTGGCTCCAGATACTTACAGCCAGGCATTATCTGAGATATTGTGAAAAACATTTTCTATATTTTTCCGAAAATTTGGACCGAATCAATTGAAAGGCAATCTTTAATCCTGCAGGAATCTTCTCCATTCCCCACATGTACCGCATAGATTGCTATCATTACGTATAAACAGTTTGATTGGTACATCCCTGCAATATGTTTGTTATATATGCCTTTATTTGTTATTCTATAAGCACATAGTATAGAATTATGATTTAGAATAAATGTAATATTTATTTAAGTTTTTTTTTTCTAATATTATGGCTATTGGCTAAATTTTATATATGAATTTCTTCTCGTTCATGTTATTTTTACTTTCAATTTATTATACTTAAAAAAAAAATCAATACGTGTTGATTTTAAATCTAAAATAAAACAAAGAAAATATAAATTAATACCGAAAAACATCAGTGAAAAGTAGAAACACGAAAAGAAGACAAAAAAAATTGTATTCATTAAGAAGCTAAAGAGTGTCAGAGTTTATTATTGGAAAGCGTTAAACTATGTTTTTCTTTCTTTAATATTTTTTTTTTTAAACTCAATAAATATAAAAAAAAAACAATCTTTTGCCAACACTAGACAATTAACATTATATTTATATAAGAAGAAATTCAATTTTTTTATTTTTTCATTTTTATTTTAATATTTATTTAGGAACGTGTTTTTTAAGATATGCACACACTTTATTTGCCCAAAAAATAAATTTAAAATTAAAATAATTTCAAATATTTGAAGTGTACATACCTATATAATATAAATTGACATTTTAAGCCGAAAAAAATTTAAACATGTAATTGTACTCATTAATTGAAATTTGTATACCGTATTACTGCAATTTTGAAGTCAACTTCAAAATTGGGAATTGCTAAATACCTAAACGCAGATCTAACATAATGTATTTTACTTTGACAAACGATCATATAGTAGACATTTTCATAAACGGTATTCTGACAAACAACAATTTAATACATATTGTGTAGTATATTTTTGACAGCTACATAATAACTGTTTATAAGCAAAGACTGCATGGTCTATAAATTTCTGTTTTCTTGTATTTCGTAAATTTCGCTTACCAGTAATTATTCTCTAAAGTAAAATAATTTTAACAAATTTTTAAAAATACACTAATGAATCTTATTACAATTATATTTTCTTATTATTAATTCATTTTCAATCAGATCAAACATGATTTAACTGCGCGCTAATTTAAATTAAAAAATATTTAAATAAATTAGAAATATTTATGAAAACAATGGATTTGCAACATCTGTTAATACATTTATAAAAAGATTTAGTAGCTATGCATTTCTACTATTACGTATGAGTTTAAACCATATTATTGCATATTTATTAGGGTTAAATAACATGTTTTTATAAAATTTCAATTTATTTATTATAAAATCACCGAATTATTACATAATTTTCAATTTGAATTCAAAATGAAGTAAGTCATACTCTTCTGATAAACATTTAAGTTTCCACATTAAATTAAAGTGATGCTTCCACTTTATTACAATTTAAGAATGGAATTGAAAAAAGTAACCAACTCAATTTTATATGTTGAAGTATTTTTGGACTCTACCAAAATTGCAATAAAATTACCAATAATGCAACTAAGTATATAAAAATTTTGTGATGCTACCTTTTTACACCTTTACCCTCATATCTATAAAATCTAGAGTTATTTTAATATGTTCAGAAAAATTTTACTGTATAATATGAAAAAGCATCAAAAGCACGTTTTTTTTTTTAATTTTTAATTCACTGCAGTCTTATTTATTTATTTTTTATGTCTTATTTTAATTCAATTGAAAACTCTCATTTTATTTTTGTATTTTATTATAAAATTCTTAAAGATTCGATTCGATAATTTTTAAATCAAAAACGTGCATTAAATTAAATACGCTACCGGAAAATTGAAAAAATATTGAAATTTCACAAATTACACAAATTTCATTAAAATTCCGCGACATTGAAACGTAAGGTATGAAAATTTCTCTTTTAAACTTTGAAATGAAAACTTGTGTATAGTAAAACAGACTTTAGACGGCATCAAATATTTTTTATGTTATTTACATATATATCAAACTTTTAATAAATTTTGATTTAATTGAATGAAATTCATGAACAATTGTAATGAAAATTTTAAATCCTTATTATAAAATTATAAGGCATTATCACAACTGTTATATGGGTTGTATTTTGGCAACAATCCTTTTAAATATTACAGCTTTCTGATCCAATTACTTTAACTAAAAATCAAAAGACTCCTATATGCGTCTTACAAACTATATAGAGGCTCCGTTAACAAATACCCAGTTCAAATTCGCTTTTACTACAATATGTATCTAGACACATATGTATTTGCTTTGTACATAAAAAAAATTGCGTGACTCTTAAAAAATTTTTTTTTTTAAGAAAATCACCTTGTTATATTCAAAAAGACATAAAAAAATAAATAAATGGTAAGATTCTAAAAACTGTCGTAAATTCAAATTAAAATAAAACTTAATAAAATCGTATACATATGTAATAAAAAATAAGAGTATATCAATTAAAATTATTCTAAAGGTTAAACCTACGCTTAAAACAAATTTTATCCCTATTGCTTTTAATTTATTCCAAACAAATATACATTATCGAACTGTTTGTCTTTTTCTTGTTATAATTTTAACAATTCGAATGTTTAATTTTTTAAAATAACATAACAATAACACCATACGTATAATACAATACATAATATTAAAATATACCTATGAAATAAATTTATAACAAGCTTAGTAATTAAAACTAATATGGACAGGTTTACGTTTATATATGTATGTATCCTCTGAAAGAAGATCATAATTCCGAATTTCACTATACCTACAAAAAAATTTTTCATAAATTTACTATATATGAATAGGAATTGAGATTTAGATACGAGTAGATATGAATAGGAATTAACAATTTATTGTATAGGATAAAAACATTATAGCGTAATTTTTAAATTAATTGCATATTTTTAGGAGAACATTAATTATATAAATGTTCCTCCAAATATATATAGTGATGCAATAAATTTAGATATGAGTTTCATTTTGTTTCATTTTTAATGTTTCAATAATATTAAAATTAAAACGATAAATATAACTGTAACGATAAATTTTTAATTAAAACGATAAAATTAAAAATGATTTTATGGAAACTGTAGTTAAAAATTTGCTAAATTAGAAATTTTTAAATAAATGTAAAAACAATTGGCAGACTTTGACTCTTCTTAAAATAATGTTCATACTTAAAAATTAAAATTAGCTTTATCATTTACAATAATGCAAAAGCTTCGGCGAAATTAAAGGAGCCAGAACAATTGATTATGGAATAATTATTGGTTGATTTAAAAAAAGTACTTCAAAAAAAGATTACATTCTATTGCAAACACTCTTATTATCTGGCTCGAAAATTATTTTATAGGAATCTATTAACATTCTTATCGATTTACTTTTTAAACAGCTAGTAAAACATATGAATTAAGAATGAGATTCTGTCTTTTTTTTCGATGCCGGTTACACGAAATCGTTTATAGTAGTCATTTCTGAATAATTTAAGCAAGTATATCAAGCAAGTATTGAAGGCAGTTCATATAAATGATTTCATAGCTTCATTTCATTTCCTGTTGGACACTGTTTGCTATCTATAGTAAGTTGATTTTAAAACAGCTTCAAAAATTCTTGTAATTTTTAGAAATTTCGTAACTTTATTGGTGGTTTTAGAATTTAACGATTTATATTATAAAATGTGGTTCATTAATTATAATTAATTAGTTCAACTTTCGTTCAAACCAATTCAAATCAGCTTTCCATATATAAATTCAATTGTTATATAATTTTTTTTCTTTAATTTTTATCTGATGAATAACGATTTCCGCTCATAATATTCATCTGTCAAATATTTTCCTCTTTTAATGAAATTTTATAACAAAGACAAAAAAATTCATAATCCTAAAAAGAAATTGAAAATTTAAAATTTGTTATTGAAAAAAAAAAAAAATTTCACATATAAAAATAAATTTATTCATTTTTTTTATTGTATTTTTTTCTCTGTTTCTAAAAAATTATAAAATTTAACATAAAATGTTAAAAATTATAATATTTGTAACTAAATAGGAAAAAAAACTTTTTATATAAATCTATTCTTCACTTCAATTATGCATTAACAAAAATATTTAAAAATTTTACATAATTTTCACAAAAAGCTCAAAGTAAAATTGTATGTAACAGAAAGAGAGAGGTATTACAATTTTTTTACACTTAAAGTGAATTTCTAAAACTTATACTCGGTTTATATTTAATATTTTTCTCCCTTAAATATTTTATATTGTAGTTCATTACTAATGTGCTGCTTTAGCTGCTGCTTCTTCTTTGGCTTTATCTTCATTGTATTTTTTATGCCAGTCTAAATTTTGTTTAGTTACACTTTCACCACGTCCCATAGCATTTTTGCCACTAATTACCATTACGATGCAACCAACTAAATTTATAAATTTTTTAAATAGAAAAGACAATAGAAAAATTTAATTTATTAATTTATTTTGAATTTTTTAATTATTTTAAATATATTATATAAAATACAATATAATTTTCTTTTAATTAAAGAAATCAAATCAAAATAATTTTAAATTTATATATAAAAATTATTTATTTTGAAAACTATACTTTTTTAATTAATGGTTACAATTTTTAAAAATTAATTAATTAATTAATTAATTTTTAATAAATTACTAAAATTTTTGATTTAATTTCCGTTTGTTTTTTTCTTATACGACAAACTAAATAAACTAAAGTTTTAGTAAAAAAAATAAAATAAAATTTAAATTAATGTGCAATTTAATATAGAATTTTATTAATCTGTGCAAAAAAAACCAATAATTAAAATAATTAAAAATAATTCCTAATTTGTATTTTTAATAATGCAAATTTGTTTACTTTTTTTTGAAACTCTTAAATTTTATAAACGTCAAGAGAACGCATAAAAACTACAAAATCATCAAATTATTTGGAAACAAACAAAAGCTAAATGTCAATAATAATTATTATAAAAATTTACCTGCTGTTAGAACCATCATAATATTGGCTACTTTAATACGCATTCTATTTCTACAACGTTCCATTGTTTCAACGCTATTTGTCGTTTATTTTTAATGTTTTAATTTTTTTTTTGTTTTATAAAGTTTACGAAATAATTTGTTAATAAAAAAATAAATTAATGAACAAAAAAAAAAATAGTAATGCGAGGATGAAAATAATTTTGTTTTTGTTTTATAAAGAATTTCCTAAACTATTTTTGTTTCCTTTAAGTTTATCAGCTCTGAACACACAATATCAAATAAAACTATATTTAAGAAATAAAACAAGGTGTTCAGGGATCAATACTTTGTTATTTATTTTCCAATTACTATATAGGCTCCTTTCAAGGATTTGCCAAAATAACTTTCGGAATAAAAAAATATTTATATTTAGAAAAACTTTAAAAAAATAATTTTTGACCAAATTATCCAAGTGCCTTTTGGATTTTTGACTGATTGTATACTTCAATCCGAACATCAAAGTTTATGTTTTCAGAGCTGTATATTTAAGAGAAAACAGAGTCGGAAGCATTTTTTTTTAGATTTTCTTTAAAAAACTCTTTTCTTATAAAAACATGATTGACTAACAGTAAAAATTATTTATGATCTACCCTCGCGAAAAGATGCCGATTAATAGACTTAAGTTCAAAATTTTTATTAATGAATTATTCAAAATATTTTAGGCCAATTTCAAAATATTTTTCTAATTAAAATTGTTAATATTGTTTATAATTACCCCTAAAATACTTGAAATACAGTTTTACATACTTAAAATAGTCCTTTACGAATCTTAATAATAATAAATTTTCTTTATAACAAACATACATAACTGATATGTGTGAACAGCTTATTTTCGAATGTTAGTAAGTTTTTATACATTCACCACAAATATTATACCAATCACCATATAGGGTTAGTTAGTAAATTTATTTTTTTAATATAAGATTTTTTTTTATTAATTTTATATTTTAAATTTAAAAATTATTAATTAATTACTATAATATGTAAGTAAAAATTTTTTATTTACCTGAGGCAATTATCATAAAATAGTTGGTAAAACGAATACGTACTTTACTTTTACAACGTTCCATAATTTCGTAGCTAATTTAGAAAATTAAAATTTAATATACTAATTTCTTTTTTTGTAAATTTTTTTTTTTTGTAATTTAAAAAAAGTAAATATTATCAAAATTTATCCAATTATTTTAATTTATTAATGCCTATAATTAAATTTAAAAAATTTTTAGACATTGATAAATTAATTTTTATATAATGTACATATTGTATGTATATATATAGGAACTTGCAATACGTAATTTTAATATTCGCTAATAATTAATTAATTGATAAAAATTAATTAAACACATAAAAATGTTAATTATATTTTTTAAGTTTTGATTAATTAATTTGTATAGAAATATTAGTTTAATTGTTATATAATTAAATGTCTCTATATAATAAATTTTAAATTTTTAACAAATAAGAACAGAATTCAACAGAATGATTTATAATTAACTAAACTGTTATACTCATAAAATATACAAAAAAGGCCTAAGCATCATTCAACAACACAAAACATTCTTTAAATCTCTATAATATTAAGTCTGTTCAAGTACTTTTGCCTATATGAATCCCCCTACGGAGTAAGTATCAACTAAAACGAGAAAAAAAGTAGAGTTGACCTTGTCAACTCTGTGATACCCTTACGAATTTGTTATTCTATGTGCGAATAACTAATGTGCCATAACTAATTATGGGGCAGACTATGACTTTAAGTTGCCGTATTATTTTATGCAAAACTTCAGTACTATGTGTTTTTCAAAATACTGGTAGTGCCAAACTACTATTGAAGTTTTATGGCAGCTACCAGAAAGAGCCAAGAAATTTTAGCGAATTTTATTAAGTACATCGGCCCTACTAATATATTCACTTGTGTGAAATCTCAATATCACGGCTTTTATAGTTTCTGAGATATAGCCAAATAACTTTTGAAGTTGTATGGCAGGTACCAGAAGGAGCCAAGTAATTTCAACAACTTTTATGAGACACATTGGCCCTACTAATGTATTCGTTTGTGTGAAATTTCAATACCATAGCTTTAATAATTTCTGAGATATAGTCAAATAACTTTTGAAGTTGTATGGCAGGTACCAGAAGGAGCCAAGTAATTTCAACGACTTTTATGAGACACATTGGCCCTACTAATATATTCGTTTGTGTGAAATTTCAATACCACAACTTTTATAGTTTCTGAGATATAGCCAAATAAATTTTGATGTTGTATGGCAGCTTCCCGAACCGGTACCCCGATCACGTCCAATTCAAATAGGGTTCTGGCACTTACTACAATAAATCATTTGTGAAAATTTGGTGAACTTAGCTCAATTAGTTTTTGAGTTATCGTTCGGATGGACGGACGGACGGACGGACAGACAAAGCTAAATCAACTCAGAATTTGACGCTGATCAAAAACATACACTTGAGTCTATATCTAACACCGTTATTTCTTAGCGTTACAAACGGTAAGGCAAATTTAGTATACCCTTCGAACATACGTTCGTACGGGTATAATAATTGTCAAAAAATCTTTTGATTCCCTCATTTTATTTTTCATTTTTTACTTGAAAGTTGAAAGTTATAGTGAACTCGTTTGGGGTGATTTAATTGTCAGATTTAAATTTTAAGATGGTTCTACATTATCAAAAAAATATTAAACAAACTCAGATCCCCTAATTTAACCAAATGCTCGTAATAAATCAACGAGCATTTAAGTTGTTAATTTACAATTAAACATGTATAACGAAAGTTTTTTATAAATACAAATAAATTTATTTTCTTGAAATTTATTAGAAATTCATTGTTTACATACAATGAATTCAATTTTTTATATTTTCCATAAAAATTTTTATGACCAATCTATCAACAAAAATTTATGATACTTGTGACCGCACATAACTTACATACATATATAAATTACAAATTATAATTTAATTTTTCAACATTTTTAAAAATTAAATTGAATTTCTATCAATTTTATTACTATATTTACAAAATAATAAATTTTCAATTTATAACTAAAAGTTACGTATGTATAGGTAATCAGGTTAAGTCATTCTCTTTATTTTCATCAGGTCCGACTTGAACAATCAATCTTTATAAAAATTAAATTGAGTAAAATAATCATTTAATTGATAATTCAATTATTGTTTCCCTTTCAATTAAAAGCCAAAAAAATTGAATTAGAAAGAACAAAAAAAAAAATTAATGTGATTTCAAAACTTAACAAACAAAATATCAAAATATTTGTTCAATATACACACAATTTAAGTATAAACATTCATGATATACGACAATTTAAGAATCGGAAACCAATACAATGGAATGAATAGCTTATATAAATAAATTTTACGAGTATTAACTGAAAAAATTTTATATCGAAATTTTGAACTACTATCAAGTGGAAACAGGTTTTTTATGGTTTGAATTACAAACCAACTGTAGCAAAATAAATGAAAGTCCCAAATGCATACGAAATTAATATGCAACTCTTCCAAAGAATATTAGAAATATGTATTGTATGAATTGAAATTAACCAGAAATGTTCTTCTAACCGAATTTAATTATTATTATACATCCAACACGCCATTTGCAATTTAATTTAAATAGTGTCAAAATCTTTTAGTCTCCCGACTCCTTTATTAAACTTTGACAAATAAATAAAAATTTGATAGTTTATACAATGTTCAGTTAGCTTATCGGCTTTTGGCCGATTTATTTAATTAGAATTAGCATGGATCATTTAGAAAATAACAAAAATATAGAAAATTAAATTTAATGTATTGAGTTAAGCTCGTATTTTAATAAACGATATAAGCTTATAATAATAATATTAACAAAATATTACAACGACGTGTTGTTTGTATATTTACAACACGTTATGTAAACATTAATTTTTTTTTTTTGGTTATTCCACCTTCTTTAATCTTCTCTTAAGATATTTAAACAAATTTAAACACTTGGTTGCTTTGCTTGCTAGTCAGTTGCGCTAATAAAAATAGAAATAATGAAAGTGAATATATAATGAAGTTTGTGTATATTATATAGAATATGTGTACCCATTACACGTACACTATTAAATATTTATGTATGTTCAAAAAATTCAAAATTAGATTTCTTCATCGACAAAAATTTTCTTAAATTGTTTGTATCGTTCACACTAATGAAGCACTAAAACAATGATAACATTAAACAGAAGACAAAAAAAATTAAGTACACAACCAATTCTAAGAACCAAAAAAAAATTATTTTATAAGGAGCTCACGAACTCAATATATTTACTCTATACCAACGAATGAGACGTATTACTTCTTATAAACTCAATCTTTTTCTAATATACAGTAATCCCCGAGCAATTACGCTTGAACACGAAACGGCACATGATGTTTTATTATAAGTTATAATAAGACAACTTATTATAAGTTGGTATTTGTCAAAAACTCAATTATTAAATTTATAGATTTAAAAATTCTACATTAAATTGGTACATCAAGCTTTTAGCATTTAAATTTAACAGAAATGAAAATGCTTTAAATATTGCCGAATCAATATGTCACTCTTTCTTCTTTTACAATTCAATTTACTCACCGTAAAAAAAAAACATTATTTTACAGTTTTATAGTTATTGTATGTATTTCGTATGATAAACCAAAATTTTTTTTTAATATGTCATTAAATATTTGGCATAATGTTTATTGAGTCGATGGTGTAATTAAACTGATTTTTCCGATTTTTTGTGTTAAATATCATGCAGTATGCATTAATTGTTTCAACACCCTAATCCGGGGAATACTGTAGTAAAAATGTATTAAAATGTGTACTGTACTATTGTATTAAAGAAAGCTAAACGAGTGGTTCAACTGTGTTGGGGGATCATTATTTTTTTTTTTTATTTGACAGTACATATTTTCATAAAGCTTCGACATTTTAAAATTCCCGACATAAGTTGGCTTTTTATTAATATTTTTATCACACGAGTACTACCTAAAATACAACCATGTATGTATATATGTACAATTTACTACATCCATACATAAATTATTTATGTATACTGTATAAAACATATCATACATGCATACAATATGTTACGTAAATCTGGCCAAAAATATTCATGGAGAACAATGTTGGATATGAAAATATTTTTTTCTACATAGAGATTATATAATTTTTTTTTTTTGTATAAAATTATATAAATTTTGTGTACCCTGCCTGATAAGTACATAACATGAATTTTTTATTTTCTTTGTTTTCCCAAAATTTGACCTTCTCAAATTTATTTAGATAAGGTGTCTAGTAAAATACATTGAAATTTTTTATTTGAATTGATTTGTCTTAATTTTAAAATAAGTGAAAAATGAAAAGTCAAGAAATAACTGAACATTATCTAAATTAAACACATTATTTATTAATTTAGGTTCTGATTGTCTATCTCGCTATTTTACTCAGAAAGTGAGAAGGAAGTGAGTAACTGTCCAATACCTTGTATAATGAAATTTTCAAGTGAGTAGAAATATTTTGTATTGTGTATTTCTAAAATGCATATAAAATTTATTCATTTTGTTTTTGAAAGTGAGATGTTCATTCGATAATTTGAGAAAAAATGCAAAAATCCAATTAAAAAATGAGTAGTCTTATTGGAAAACATCCATTAAAAAATATTGAGAATTATGATTTGAAGGTGAATAAAAAGGCGAGATACACGATCAAGCTGTTAGTCGTCTTTTTAAAACGTAACTATAAATAATTCTTCAGTTTGTTAAGTACAAAATAAGCAAAGTAAAGTAATTTACTAAGACAATATCTACCGGCAAGTTTATTCTATTGTTCATATTATGTTGGTCTAGCTGATCTTATTTTCTTTATTTGTACAAAAATTCTACTATTGCAAGATATTGACAATATTATGGATTCAAAAAATCAAACACCCTATTTTTTTTTTTAATATTTAAGAATTTAAACTTGCTAGTTTAAATATAATAATTGGGTATACACACAAATTAGAAATATGAAATCATAATAGAAAAAAGTGAAATACACACATGCATAAAAAAAGAAAAGAAGTGGTAAAAATGCCAATGAACTTTCAAATTTAATAACTTTTGAATAAGTAATATGAAAATTTTTATATCGACCTTGGTTTTTCTTTGGTTTTTGTTCTTTTTTTCGTTTTCGTTTTCATTTTAAATTTACATATGATTTTCTAATTTTAAATACGTAAAATAAATTTGCATTTATTTTTAATAAAATTATTTTTATTAAAAATTATTTACAGAGCGGAAAAGTATAAAAGTACAATAAAAAAATTTTCAATATTTTTTTTTTTTAGATTATGTTTAAACAGCTTATAAGTATGTATGATAATTAACGAAATTTATACAATTTATATATGTATACATTTAAGTAATACCTTTAATTGAATTCTAATAACAGATCTAAAATTCAAACCATTTTGTAAAATAAATTAATTACTATATGTATATTTAAACTTCTTACAAGCGTATTAGAGAAGCGAAATTGTGAATAAACAAAGTTTAAAGGGCCTCTATTGGAATCGAAAAGGCCAACAAATTTTTGTCTTCTAATTCTGAATATTTTCCAAACGCCTCTAATTCCTTAAATACATACATACTTAAAAAAAAACTGTTACTAAATGCTTCGAAGGTTATTTTGTCACATGAGGCGCTCAGGACTTTGGTGGTGTTTTCAACATTTTTGCAAAAATGAGCTATTACTCGTATGTTCAATAGAGCTGTAAGACCTAAAGAATTATTTTATATAGTCAAAATACTTAGTTTACTCCGCTTTCCTTCACTCTATTTTGACATAATTTCGTTTTTGCCTTTAAAAAATTTTCTTAAAAATTAAATGCTTAAATATTTCTATCGCAATTTTCTCGAAATGTCACTTTCAAAATGCAAGTGGGCCACTAATGTTCTGAGCGCCTCACATGTAATAACTATTTCAATTTTTTTTTAATCACATTTAACTGAAAAGCTTTAAACAATTTAATCATTAATCATAGAATTAAAAGAAATTCATATGTATGTGAATGTTTATATGTATGTATGTACAAAATTACATTTTACATTAATAACCTGATTCAAACTAAATAAGTATGTAATTATAAAAAATAATCTAATAATGAATATTTTTCTTATTTAAGCTATTTAAGTGGAAGTATCTGTTTTGAACTTTTGTGAACACAACACAGTCTTATTGAGTCAAGGTTATCAATCTCCAAAAAAATAATTAAAATTTTATTTTTATCGCTCTATATTTTAAGTACAGAATATATTGAATATGTATGAGTGTTAAACACATATACATTTATAAAATACTATGTTGAAATAAATATGTACAATAATTTTTTTTAAACGTTATGTAGGTCACGTATGTATGTGAAAAATTTAAACTTAAATTTTTACTGATTTAAATAAGATCTGCATTTGAGTAATTAATATTAAAACAATTAAGTAATTAACAGAATATAAAGATAGGAGAGAAGGTACCCAGTTAGATATTTATTATTATTTTTTTTTAATTTTAACTGAAACCTAACAAAAAATTGTTATTCAAATAACTTTATTCAATTTATTTTTAACTATTTATTTCAAGTTTTACTTCCACTCTTTTTTTTTTTGTCTTAATATATTGTTATATTAGTAGGGAGCTAGAGCTATACCTACTTAAATTTAGATTTATTTTAATAAAATATGTAGATAGAAAAAAAATAACATGGCGTTCACGTTCTAGTTGAATGAAAGTCTCATTTTTTTTTTTGAGAAAGAATGAAGGAAAGACAAATAGACAAACTAGAAAACAGAAAAATTAATTAATAAAAGAAGATAATGTGAGTTGAAAGAAAGAATTAGACTTGTTACACGTGTACTCAATAATAAGAGATTTGTATATCAAATTAAGAAATTTTTCTTCCAAATTCTTAAATTTAGAAAAAAAAAATGCTGAAAAATCTAACATGCTTACTTATATTTTGATTAAATATGAAATTTAAATTACACGCGTTTGAATAACAATTAATTAGAAATTTGATAAAAAATTAAATATGTACATACTATGTATGAATGTATGTATGTATTAAAAAAATTAAGTAGGTGTACCAATATCATATTTTTTTTTATATTTCTTTTGTAGATTTTTCGTTTTTTTTTGGGGTAATTTTTGAATATTAAATTATAAATATTTTAAAAAATTTTCAATTATATTTCAATTAGTTCTTTGTTTTCTTCAATATTTTTGTTTGTTATTTTGTTTGTACATTTATTATACATAACATTTTTGTTTACATTCGTACACGATTCGGTTACTGCATAATCAAATCTAAGTACCTATATTTTGATAGTCGCATCACTTGACTCATTATTGAAAAGTGTTTTGTTTTTCAGTAAACATTTTCAAATTTTAAAATTGATTTTATGTAGATTACAACTTTATTGAATAACAACACCTTTAAGTTTTTCAATTTAAAAAAAAATATATGTATACCTATATTTTGAATATCAAATATTTTTGAATACATACATCCATACATAAATGATCACAAATTCATGTGTGTATAAATAATAATAATAGAATGATCAATAAACTATAAATGAAATATATTTTTACACAAATATTTTCTGTCGTATTAGATTCGGAAATTCGGAAATTAAAAAACCACAATGTTTATTAGTTGCAAAGAGGGGCGTAAAGTAATGAAGAATCTAAGAAGAGACCAGTATGGAAACAAGAATAAATTTTATTAGAAAATTTTAAAACTTTAAAACAGTTTACTCCTGTAATCTAATTTAATTCATAATATTTTCACTACCTAAAACCCGTTATTCAGAAATTTTCATTTAACAATATTTAAAAGCGCATATTTTCGGTCTCCCTTGTATAAAACTGAATTTGCTTCATAAACATTACATTTTTTGTTATCAGTATCTACATTTTATTTAATTTAAATGATTCATACATTTTAATAGGAAGATAATATTAAATGTAAAAAATTTAACAACTGTCAAAAGAATGAATTATTTTTTGATTATTTATGAGCACAACAAAAAAAAAATTTAAAGTAAAAAGAAAAAAATGAATTTGTGTTCTTCTTTCTTTTGCCCATGGACATGTGTACACAATTTTTAATTTTTTTTTTTTTCATTTTCTTAAATAACTTTCACGCTTTCTGTTTATATAATCGTATAGATACCATATTTTATAGATACATTATGTATGTAGAAATACATACAAAAAATTATATAAATGATTAATTGAAATATCTACATATGTACATATTTGTTCATTTTTTATTAATATAAATTAGGTATTTAAATGGATTAATGTTAAAACTTTCGAATATAAAAACGTGTATATGTATGTAAGATTATAAATTTTGATGCAATATCTAATAAAATTGAAAATTGTTTAAAATGTGGTTTTAATTACTCACAACTTTTTGTTTAAATTAAATCCATTGATTTATACTCGTATACCTATTTTAAAAAAAATATCAAAATTTGATGATTTGGTATGCGATGTCTTATACAAGTAAGTAGTATCTACGGTTTTAGAAAGTAAAATTTATGATTTAAATATCTTCGGATATTAGCGGTAATGTGTGGGTTGAAACTAAAATTTATCAATTTAAAAATTGATGAACTTTTATTCATATTTAAAATTGGTAGATTTTCTTTTTATATAAATAACAATAATTTTCTAAAATAAACACAACAAAAACCGATTCACAAATTATAAAATTAGTTTAATAAAATTTTTGTAAACGTGTTTGAATTATGTAGCTATAAACACACTTTAAATTTTAAAAATTTTCCTATACATAATTACAGTTGCAAACACTTTAAATCTTAATTAACTTCAGTTCTCTGTTTGATCTTTATTAATCCGGTTATAACAATAATAACTGCAACCGACAAAATATATGTAATAAAAACGGTAATGATTAAGAAAATTTTAATCTGAAAAAATGTATGTAAGTATATGTCCATGTATATAACATAAGCAAACCTAATGTACATACATATATATCTGGATACAGTAAATATGCATATTTAACTGTTTTTCTTAATAAATAGGAGCTCCTCTTCTAAATCGAAAAAAGTTGTTTAAAGAAATCCAAAAAAAAAAAAAACAAAAAAAAAGGGTTAGATAATAATGGCCTTGAAAATATCAATTATACGGTTGACTTATAATTTTTTGTTAAATTGTTGCAAATTTATATGATTTTTATGTATTTATGTATGCATATTTGTAGATAATCCCATAATGTAGATTTTAAAAGAATAAAAATATTTACCTAACATGACTTGGAACTTCATCTACACTCTTGTATTTTTTGGTCCATACCAAAAACCGTTTTTCTAAATTACTAAAAAGTAAGAAAATATTAAAATAAAAAAAAATTTCACAAAAAAAAAAATTCTTACGTCGGCTTATGTTGATTAATTTGATCCCTCAAACAACTTGTAGTTGAAATACTTTTATTTGATAAAATTGTTGTTTGAGATCCAATTTTTTTAATTAATCCAAACATTATGAATATTATAATCTGATAACTGTAAAGAAATTAGCTAGTTAGGAAAATATAAGAATTATATTAATATTTAATTTTTTTATTTCGTAGAATAGTAGCAGCTGATAAACGACAAATAGCTGAAGAATAAAAACAAATCGCTGTCAAGTCAATTATAAGTACATATATTTCAATGGTAGGTTAATAAAGGAGTTGCCGCATAAAATATATAGAACAATTTTTAAATCAAATCGTTAGGTACATTGCAGTAAAATCGAATTAGCTTAGTTTAGTCGAGTAGTCACGGTATAAACAAGTTAAGAAATCGATTGATTCCTTTTTTCAAAATTAAAAGAAAAAAATAAATTGCATTTCATATTTGAATGAGCAATTGTTAAAATTTTGTTCTTAAATTTCCTTTGTAATTTAATTATTGTTTGAATTAGCAGTACAATTGTTAATTAAAATGCAATTCAAAATTTTTTTGAAATTATATAGTAAACCTTTAATACAACGCCAAAATTCAAATTTTAAGAAAAAAATAATTTAGAAATTTATAATTTAAAATGTAATTTAATTTAACTTTTAATCCAAGTATAGATCAACTAAAACTTAAATTTTTAATTAATAGTTTGTATTAGGTATTTGAATAAATCAATTGTATTCGCAAGCATTTTTAAATATCCAAAACAAATAATTTTTTTTTTTTTTCAAATAAATCTTTCCTACCTATTTAATTAATTATTATATCTATATAGTATACTATAATCTTCCGTTATATGAAGTGATTCTTACAACAATCTTTTCACAACTGACTTTATTTTTAAATACATATAATGGCCACATATTACATACAGAACTAGTTTTATAAATTCAGAAGCGATTAAACGAATATCAACATAAAAAGAAAACAAAAAAAAAGCTTTCTCCAGTTTTCTTTGAAGATAATTTAGCTGTTATGTGGCATGTATTAAAAAAAAATTAAACTTTTTTATCTTTTGGTAAAAAGATATTGATATATATAATATTATATAGGTATCATGTTATCTGAACACAGTCTACATAATCCTCAACTTTCTGTTAGAACTGTATTAAAGTAAAACTAATGTTTGGTGATCATTAAAACAAAATTTTTTAATCTGTTATATGCATTTTCCTATCTGTATATTGCTTTGTCTTTATCTACAATAAATCATTGGAAAAAAATAGTGATTCTGATATGAAACGGACAGAGCAATGAAATATAATAAAATAATAAAACGATCTACATATTTATCTGTTCCTAGAAATTTTCTTATTATTTACCGTTTACACGAAGTGGGTATAGTTTGGTTAAAAAAAAATCAAAGCTAAAATTTAAGAGTCAGTTTACACATATCAGCTTGCAGTCATTTTACACATATTTAGATACCTCTTTTTACATGGAAGTTAATAATGTGAACTTTTCCTAAATTTTTTATTAGAAAAGCTAAAAATGTAATAAAAGTAATTACTATTTGAAAAAATTTTTTAAGTATTCGTAAAAATCATTGACATTAAATTGAATATCAAATTTTTGGTACATTGATAAATATTTGATTTTAATGTATTCAATAGTGTTTTTGTGGGAAATGAATTTCAATATAACAATATCTGAAAATAAAAGTTTTTGTGTTATAAATGCAGAAAAGATTATATTTTTTTTTTTGGTTGAGAGTTTTGCATCGGTACATGAAAGATTGACAAGGTTTGATTTGCTTGTATTAACTTAAGTTAAAAAAAGAACTGAAGCAATTTTCCGCGGATGTCAGAATTCATATTCTAATATACATATTTTAATGGGTCTGCTCAGAATCAAGTGAATTCCCGCCGGCGACGTAATGAACTTAATTTTTATTCTACAGCTGGCCGTTTTTTTTTTAACATTATCTGTTTCCATGTGTGCGTGACATTAAATGCAAAATATGCAAAATATAATTCAATTAATTTTACCGTTCCGCTTTTGTTTTTCGTTCGCGGTTGCCGTTCGACGATTGGGTTCTGTTTTCATCGTTAGGAAAAATCGTTAGGGGTTCACAAGAGTAAGAATCGGTAAAATTCGGTGTCAAAAACTGCTGATTAGCGATTGAAACAATTCTAATGTATGTATGTCAGTTGATTAGAGACGATTGACAGACAGTGTGAATCAAACCAGTTTAGTTCTATGAAAAATTATATATATTTTTTTTAAATTGTATTTTAGTTAAAAACATAAAATTAGAAAATGGTGGTATGGCCTCGTCTGTCTTTTGTAATCGGATCTACTAGTGGATTAGCCGCTTATCTTTATAATAAAATATCTGATGAGAGAAATGTTCATAATTCTTGGACAAATACAGACCGTTTAGTTCCTGATTGTGCAAAATGGGATCATAATTGGGACTGTCGGGAACCACGCAGTATTGTTCGGCCGCCAAAAAGTATTCTTGACTTAAGTCCTGAAGAAGAAAATGCTTACAACAAGAAATTGGATAGTGTTCGTCCAAAAATAACTCGTCATATTTTTCTTATTCGACATGGGGAATATCTCGATATTGGCGAATCGGACCTGGATAAGCATTTAACAGAAGTTGGCAGGAAGCAAGCGAAATATACAGGGGAAAGATTGAAATCTTTAAATATTAAGTGGGATCGTATTATCTCTTCAACAATGACAAGAGCACAAGAAACTGCACAAATTGTCACTAAAGCGTTAGGAGTACCGATAACTGATCATTGCAATTTAATTAGAGAAGGGGCTCCTATTCCACCAGAGCCACCCGTTGGACATTGGAAACCAGAAGCATCGGTATAATAATAAAATAAAAACAAATAAAAAAAAATGCTGAAATTTCATTTTTTATAATGCTTGTAGCAGTTCTTTTGCGACAGTGCCCGAATAGAAGCTGGATTTAGGCGATATTTTCATAGAGCGGATGTTAAAGAACAACATGATACATACACTTTGATTATAGGACATGGGAATGTTATTAGATATTTTGTGTGCAGGTAATTGAGTCATATGCATCTATAAAATCTTTAGGTAAAAATTTATTCTTGCAGAGCCTTACAGTTTCCCCCAGAGGCATGGCTAAGAATTAGCTTAAATCACGGGTCTATTACATGGATTTCTATTTTACCATCAGGTCGAGTAACTTTGAGAAACTTAGGAGATTCTGGTCATATACCAGCAGACTTAGTTACACATAAGCTGCCTCAAATTAAAGGATCAAAGCTATAAAAACTGAGTCTTCCAATTATATAACACGATATTCGTTATGTATGGTATTATTGTTGAAATTTTTCTAATTTTAATTCAGAATGCTTTGTTTTTAGCCGTTTTATAAGAACCACGTCCATTTCCAAAAAGCAAGTTAATGATATTTTAAATAGAAAATATGCAAATATCCACTGCGAATTTTTTTTAATAAATTGAAAAGATAAAAAGTACTAAGATGTTTTTCGCATCTTTAGAAAAATATAATAAAGAATACTGTTGAAGAATATATTAACATATTTAACCTTTTTTTTAAAAAGTAACAAAACATTTTTATTAAAGCGTAAAAATACAAGCAGATATTCAAAAAATATGCCACAATTTTAGTTAAGTTTTATAATGTAACATCAAATAGTAATAAAAAATACAACAATTTTATAAACATTTAGATTAATCCCAAAAATGTATCAATGTTTTTTCACAGATTATTCATTTTAGTTCTGCAAATGATATATTTTATATATAAAAGTTAAATTAAAATCGAGTTTTTTTTTATGGAACTATTATAGTATTGTAATTTATAAAATTACTAGAGCAGATTCTCAATACATATTTGATTTTTGTTTTATATAAGGATACAGTTTTTGGGAATAATTTCATACTAAAACATATATATTTTATACATAAAGCTATTAGAAATATTTTATACACTTCAATATTGGCCTTAAAAATCTAGTTCTTCATTTTTTAAATTAAAAATGCTATAAATTTTTTAAAATTTCGGTGGTCGCATCTGGATCAAAGCTACTGAGATTATTCTCTAAAGTTGTTGTTTGACTTATTCCACCACTTAAGTGATTAGAATCTTTATATTGACTAAATGTTGAAATATCTCTTCGTTTCTTTGACTCAATACGATTAAAACCACTCCCGGCACCAATTAGGCTATTACTTTTCGTTTCTGGACTATATCGAAACATAATTTCTGACTCAATAGGCGTAGTGGGCATTGATTTTGATAAATCAAACATCTTGTTACTTTGTTTGATTGAATTAATCTCAAAATTATTAATTGTAGGGGGGTTTTTTTGCATGGATATTACGGGTAAAGGGGTTGTTGGATTTGAACGGGAAATTGTACTTTTGTTTATTGCATACTTTTGCGCTATGTTATCATACATTTTTTTAGGCATGTTTTGTAGATCATTGTTCATTTGAGGAATGTACATATTTTGTGATGTGCGAAGTGGATTTATTAAAATTTGATCACTAAAGTCAGTAAATTCTTGTGGTATTGGTGTTTGAGCAACTGAATTAAATTCTGACAAAAACTCAGAGTTACTATCGAATTCTTCAATTTTCGGGCCGTTTAAAGGAACACTTCTGGAACGATACTCTAAATTATCATTGCTGTTAATTTTTAATGTTGAATCCATAACGTTCTCCGTTTGTGGATTAATGTATTTTTCACAGTCAAATGAATAGCACGGTATACTTTTTTGCCTTAAAATATTTGGACTAGTTGGAGCTGAAGCACTTATTGTAGGGTTATATACTTTTGTATTATACTCAATGCAAGAACTATTCAAATTTATTGCAGGCCGTATATTTAAATTTGAAACACCCTTACTTTGAATAGGCACAAAATTAAAACGATTCTTCGAAAAATTCGTATTGCAATAAGAATTACTGGTTTTAAAAGTTCTTTGTTCCAAATTTGGAGAAGTATATAAATTTAGGTTTGATTCATTCTCTCGTCCATACATTACATATTGTGGGTGCTTCTCATTCGGAAAATTTAAGGAAACGTTCTGTCCTAACTTCATATTCATATCCCTTTTTAAGTGAGTGTTTTTATTAGAAGTAATTCCTTGTAACATTAATTTTGGTTGAGGTAGATTTTCATCAGGATACATTGTAGAAATTGTTGTTGAAGGCTCAGTTTTATTGTTAGCAGATATTTGTTTTAATTCTTCTGTTTTTGAAACTGCCGGATCTGGTGCTTGAAAGTATTGTAGTAATTCAGCATCTTGTTCGTCTGGATTCTCGATGTTTGGAAGGTAATCATCAAGTTCATGCTTATCCATGTTACAAATACTTATAACTCTCTCTCTAGGTAGGCCCAAATTCTGCGACAGAACATCTTTATCATCATTTGTAATATCAGGCTCATTTGTATTATTTAAATTCAGCCCTTTGTTTCTATTCATATCCAAAATTAAACGTTTTCTTAAGTTTAAATTATTAGCATATACTTCTGCATTGGATTGAACTTGTGGTGGTCCCATAGGGGTGCTATCTTCAGCCCGATGTAATAAATGTTGACTTGTAATAGTTGAAGATGTTTTGTTATTTAAAAGTTCTGCAACAGAATCTACGGAGTTTATTTGTATTCCTTCATTTAAGTTTTCTTTTACTTTTGTTTCATATGCACTAACATCAACCATGTTGGGCACATTTTTACATGACAACGCAACACTTTTTAAGCTGTTCATTTCTGTACTATGATTTGATTCAGAATCTCTAAAAATGCTTGAGTGATTAGATTTCTGGAAATCCGTGCTTTCTATAGCTAAGTTCATAGGTGTTAATAGTGCAGCACTATTGTAGGAATTGTTTGAATCTGATAGTTCCTCAACTTTTAAGGTAATTGGTGAAATGCAGGAGGGTATCACTTCAGTATTTGAAGAATTCTTCCTCTTTCTTTTCTTTTTTCGTTTAATATTCAATTCAGAAAATTTCTTTTTATTATTATAACGTTGCATATATTTTCTTTGTATAACTATTTTTGATGGACTTACAGAATTCAAATTATTCTTTTTTATATGAGATGCTAAATCTTTAATGCTATCAAAAGATACGTGCATAACTTCTTCAGTCCATTTCTTTATTGCATCCCATGACTCCTTATCAACTTCTTCTAAAAATTCACTCTTTTGTGTGCTACTATCCAATACAGATATAAGTGGGGGAACTAATTTAGTAACTTTTCTCATAGCTGCGTAGCAATATCGAGAGTTTCCTCTAGTTCCAAGTCGACGTGGCTTAACGTCAGGAAATACTTGTTTCATTACTTTACCAAAATCAGCAGTTGAAAGAGGTTTTATATTTGAATTTCTACAGAAAACGCTGTAATCGTTATAAACATCTTGCTTGGGTATAGAAACTTCCGGATCATGCTCCAAGTGTGACTTGATCCAATTTATTGTACGATTGATTTCTAACCGGGTTCCTAAAGGATTTTGGTGCTGCCGCAGAGGATCAGTTTCCGTTATTCCCCCTGGTATTTTAAGATATAAAAGCAACTTTTCTTTCGATGACAATGATGAAATTTCGGATAACAGCAAAGACAATTTTTGCTTACTGATATCATTAAAATTAGCATAATTTACTTCCCGATTTTCTTCTAAAAAGTTCGAAGCACTGTCGTATAATATGCACTCTTCTTTTACATCTTTTATAAGCTCTTCACAATTTGGGGACTCCTTAAAAAAATTTTTCTTTTCTATTAAGGATTTAGTGTCCTCTAGATACTTGTTTTGTTCATCCATTTCAGGACTGTCACCACTTACTGCGCTTTTATGTTGTGTTGTCAAATTATTTTAATTATTTGTCAAAAGCTTTTATCATCTGTCTTTTAATGACAATACGCGTTAACGTTTTCTAGAAACTTTAGTTTTCCAACACAATATTTCGCCTTCATTAAATAGTGTAATAGAAGAGTGATAAGTGATAGAGAAAAGATTTTACAACCAAAATTATAATAAAAATTAATTAAGCTACATTATATAAATTTTGAAAACTCTTTGCCGCCAAAAGAAACTTTTTTTTTCTTGGGATTCTTTTTGCAGGAAAAATTTTGTCTATATGCATGTAAATATTAAGCATATACATATTTGTATTTTTTATTACATGTTAATTTGTTTTTATTCATTATAAGTTATATAATATTTATGGTCAGCGTAGTTGGATTAGAATATTTACTTTCATCCTAATTTTCTTAAAAAAATTACATTTCATTTGACTTAATAATTAGAAATTTGACTTAAATTAAAAAAATAAATTAATTTGACTCCACTTCAATTTATTCTTGCTAAAAATATATCAGAAAAAAAAGCATTCAAATTCTTTCTGCAATGGACACTTAAAATTTAACTGTTTTTTGTTTTAATATGATATCGTAATATGGCAAACGAAACCTAAAACGCCGAAGAAGTGATTTATTGTCATGAAATTAACCAAATAATGAAACCTTGCTAATATTTCAGTTTTTACTAACCGATTGAGAAGAAAGTGATTGACTATTATACACATAGCCGTATAATCAGATACAATCGGTATTCCTCGCAGAAAATTGCATATAAAAAAGCTTTCACAATACAATAGCAGAAGTTTCGTAGGACAATTTTTCCTATATTTAGATGTATATTATATTTATACATAGATACAAAATCTAATCAGTTTACTTTTAAAGGTAAAAAATTCACTCAAAATTTTTAGGTGACAATATAAAAATAATTATAATTAATTATAATTTATTTATTTTTTGCTTCTTTTTGAGAAAATCTGTATAGAAAATGAAGCTGCCTGTTACGATTAAGGTTCTTTAGTATATGGACATTACTATGTAATTTCGTTTTCGTATTCGAAAAAATGGTAAGGTAGCAACAATCAATTTGTATGATGCTACCTTACCGTTTTTTCGAATACGAAAAGCGTTTCTGCAAATTTGTTACAAGAAAATCAATTACATAGTAAGGCGAAAGTACATTTTTGTTCATATCACAAATGTACTCTTTTTTTATAAAAGAAAACGGTAACAAAAATATGTAAAGTGTTTTGTCAAAGCTTTGAAGATAGTTTCTGTTGAGACCTGATTTGAATTATTTGGGCCAAATTCAGATATTGAAGCATTTCTACTTTTCATGGATGAGATTGAAAAATATGAAAATGAGAAGCAAAAAAATGATAAGCAAACTGAAATAATTAAATTGTTACATGAGTATAACAACATTAAAGATGCAACTCAGCTGATTCTTGCTGCTTTAACAAATATTGAACAGGTTACATCAAAAGAAATCCACCTTAAATATAATTTGCCAGTGGATTCGCAATAACTTTTCATATTTAGTTGTTTAAGTAAATGTTATATACAATATTTATAGTTCAAAAAAATGTAAAATTTACTTTTATATATTTTATAAAAAATTAAAATGCACTACAATTTTTTCATCATGGATTTTGTGTTTCATAAACCAGCTCCCGCTTGGAAGTACATTCTACACTTTTCATTAAAAGCTTTATAAGATCTATCTTTAATTATATCTTCTACATTCAGTTCGTATTGCAAAACTCTCAACTACAAAAAATAATAACAAATTATGAAGTTGAGTACGTAATATTAATGTGTATGAAATTTTAAACTTTTGAGCTACCTTTCTTTGAGCAGACTTGTATTTTTTATCAAGATCAATATCTTCCCTGTTGTTATCTCTTTTTTCTTTCAAAGCCTTAACATGATCCGCAGAAAATAATATACATTGTTTTAAAGCAGTTTCTCTTTGCTTATGACTTGTGTTTAATTTATCATAGAGATCTCTACAAGTGGATTCACCATTAAATTGTCCTTTAAAAGATTCAGTTGGAAGTGATGTCTGAAAAGAATACATAATTAGTTACGCCTTCATAATGATTTCAATATTATTGCAGTTATACAGTTATTTCCTATTTTGCTTACATTCAATGCGTATATAATTTTATCGTCAATATCTCTCATTTTCTTTAACGCTTCCTAAAATAAGCAATGCTTCTTATTCTTAAAATACTTCAAACTCCTATCAATTGATAGGTTATAATCAAAGATGATTTGTACAGTTTTCGTTACCTGAAATCCTAGAAAATCTTCACATGAATATTTAATAGACATTTTAATGTTATTCTGTATGCTAAAGTTTAATGTTTTACAAAATTAAGATAATATTTAAAAAACAAAATAGATAATTCTATATGTAAATATATGGAGATGTGTTATTACTCCTTGACATTTTAAAATATAACCTAAAATCAAAATAAATGTAAATTTGTTCACGGTATCTTTGTTGCCGTTAACTTATAGTTTACATATAATAAAACAAACGGAGTAAAAAGTCTTAATATTGACCTATGTTTACATACTTTCTTCTACTTTGGAATCGTCAATTTTTCATTTTGTAAATTTTCAAGAATATCAATTAATAAAAATTTTTTTTTATAATTATTGAAATCTAACATTTTTCATTTTTCCATAACATAAAAAATTATTACAAGATTATGTTTTCATCAATGTTAAAACTATGTCCTAAATTTTTGGTTGGGCTCTAAAAGAAAATATTTCGGCAATCAGTATTTGTGCGGTTTGTCCTGAATGGTCAAGGTATTATCAACTGTCAATTCAAAATTCGAAAATAAAATAAAACCAAAATAACTAAATTACTTGTTGAGGTTCTTTTTGAAATTTATTGATATTTGAAACCTTTTAAAAATTGAAGTTTTTAGTTGTGTTGGCAGTTGCTATACAATTTTTGTTTTTAAATAAACGTTGTCAAACTTTAGAGAGTGTTCAGATATTTAAAGTTCAACTATCAGCTTGACATTTAGTGTCATACCTTTTTTTTTTTTGGAGCAAATTTTGACAAGACGACAGCTTCAATAGGTTTTTTTTTCGAGAAAAATATAAGGAATTAAATAAAGTTTGGAAAACGAAAAAGGTTAACTACTTTATAATTATATATATAACTATTAAAACCTGCATCTAAATCTTAGTAGATTAGCGTTTAAAATAAAAAAGTTAGGGTTTTTCTAAAAGATTCAAATGCACATTTTCAGCCACAATCTATATAGAAATGTCAATAATTGAATGACGAATGTTTAAAGATATTTCAAGCTCATGATGACATTTATAATGCATGGTCTGATTTTAATGTGAAATAAATTTTTAAAAATTTGCAGAATGTCAACTACACATCAACATCGATATAAAAATGCTGGATTAGATTCCGAAATGCGAAGAAAAAGGGAGGAAGAAGCAATCCAGCTGCGGAAACAAAAACGTGAACAGCAACTAATTAAACGGCGTAATGTAGATATTCCAATAGAAATGGATAGCGACTTGTCTCATGTAAGATTCTAAACTATTTTCTGTTGTATTATATTTTTACAAATATTTTGTTGGAAAACTTCAGCATATACATGTGTAAATTTCTATGTTGTAAGTAAATTTATATTAGGTAAAATTTTATTTTAAGGAAGAGGAAATGCAAGCATCGCAAAATCAATCTGTTATTAAAAAGGAAATGATTGAGCAGCTATATAGCAATTTTGAAGCCGAGCAGTTAAGTGCTACCCAGAAATTTCGGAAGCTTCTTTCAAAAGATCCAAATCCGCCTATTGAAGAAGTTATTCAAACTGGAATAGTTCCACGATTTGTTAGTTTCTTGAAGAATAATAATAATTGCACTTTACAGGTCAGTTGAAACTATAGCCCTTATATACAAAAAGAGTTTTGATACACATATGTATTATCTATATTTGAAAAAGCATGGTTATATAAAAACTTTGACTTGAATAAAGAAACCTGCCCTTAATGTCTAACATTTAATTATGTAACCATTTAACTTATACAAATATGAAAAAAAAATTTACATGCCTTCCATATTTAATGGAAATTGTTCTATTTTTTTTTGTAAAATTGTGAAGTTTGAAGCAGCGTGGGCTTTAACAAACATTGCATCTGGTACTCCTCATCAAACACGTATGGTTATTGAAGCTGGAGCTGTTCCGGTTTTTATTGAACTGCTCTCAAGTCCACATGAAGATGTTTTGGAACAGGCTGTTTGGGCACTTGGTAATATCGCTGGCGATTCCCCGGCCTGCCGTGATTTACTCTTAAATGAGGGAATTTTGATGCCTCTATTACAGTGAGTTTTGATGAATGTTATGTGTTTGATAAGTCAAAAATTCAAAATCTTTCTTGCAAATTTAAGGGTTTTAAGTAACCAGGAACGATTAACAATGACTCGTAATGCAGTTTGGACTCTGTCAAATTTGTGTAGAGGTAAAAATCCGCCTGCAGATTTCACAAAAGTTGTTAAAGGATTGCCTATTTTGGCACAACTACTTAATAATACTGATCCAGATGTTTTAAGTGATACATGTTGGGCTATCAGTTACTTGTCTGATGGACCAAATGATAAAATTCAAGCTGTCATTGACGCGGGCGTGTGTAGACGATTAGTAGAACTATTAACGTATGTTTTACGGGATTTCATTAAAATTTATTTTAAAATATAAAATTTTTTAGACATCATCAAAATAATGTTGTAACAGCAGCTTTACGAGCTGTTGGAAACATCGTAACAGGAGATGATATTCAAACTCAAGTGATTTTAAATTGTAATGCATTACCATGCATAAGACAATTATTAACTTCGCAAATGGAAGCAATTAAAAAAGAAGCATGTTGGACAATATCAAACATAGCAGCTGGAAATAGAGAACAAATTCAAGCTGTAATAGATGCAAATATTTTCCCTTTATTGATGAACATACTTCAAACTGCTGATTTCAAAACTAGAAAAGAAGCTGCTTGGGCTGTAACTAATGCCACAAGTAGCGGGACAATACCGCAAATTAAGTATTTGGTAAGGTTTTAATAATGTAAATTTATCTTAGTCTAGTAGAATATTTCTTCAGTGCTAATTTCTTCTATATAAGTATGTAAGATATATGAAAAAATTAAGAGCAGTAGAACTAAAGCTAAAAAAAAAAAATTTGAATTGTTGTTACTCTTAACAGTCTTTAAATATATTATATTCCCAAATATTGATAATGTAAATTTCAACTTGCTGAAATTGGAATAAGTGTATTCCAATAAACATTATAACATTAAAACAATTTTCTTAAATTTTTTTCTTTCCACTAAATCTTATAGTTTTCTATTTTAATAATATTTTTTTAATGTAAAACATTTTTGGCAAAATAAATAATATGCACATATAAACACAAAAAATATATATAGGTACAAGTGGGATGTATTCCGCCAATGTGTGATTTCCTAACAGTTAATGATTCCGATATTGTTCAAGTTACATTAAATGGTCTAGAGAATATATTAAAAGCTGGCAAAAAAATTGAAACTCGACCAAATCCTTTTGCAATTATTATTGAAGAATGTGGAGGTATGTATTTGAAAAATAAAAAAAAAAATAAAAAATTATGTATTAAAATTTTAATACCTTTTTTTATTTTAAAGGTCTAGATAAAATAGAGTATTTGCAATCTCATGAAAATAGGGATATATATCATAAATCTTTTTATATAATTGAGCAATTCTTTAGTAATGAAGATGAAGAACAAGCTCGAATTGCACCAATAACAGAAAAAAATCAATATAGTTTCAACCCAGACTCAGCTGCACCAAGTGGAGGATTTACATTTTAATAGATAACAATAGCATTAACATTAGATCTAAAAAAAAAAAGGAAGGAAAACAAAAGAAAAAACAGAATCATTTGATTTTTCAATTAAATACATAAATGATTATATAAAAAAAAAAGAAAAAATTAAATGAAAAAAATTTTTAATCTGTATTTATTAAAACAGCATTAAAATGTTAAAAATAAAATTAACTTTTTTGTTAAAAGACGCAAATCAAAGTTAATGTCTATAAATTTTTTCTTATAAAACATAAAGCTAATAACTTTATTATAGAACAAGCATTTTGGTTTGCATTGTAAATTTTATATTTTTGTTCCTTTGAACTTTTATTTTTTCAAAAATGCTCTTTTTCCCTAGTAAATGCTTATAATTTTTGCTTGTTTTCCTTTTTTAATTTGAAAAGAATAAAATTTTAACTTTGTATAAAAAAAAATGTACTATATTGTAAATGCCAAAAAAGAAAAACACTAATCATTTTTTTTTTTTGTGTAAATTATCTTTTTTGTGATAATTTTGAAAAAAGTTTTTAATGAGAATTTTAAGAAAGCGAACCTTTTAAATATATAAGGAAACTTATATACTTGATTTGTTTCCATTACACTTAAAATCGAACAAAAATTATTTAATTAGGTTTTATTTTTTTTAACTTTCAATAAAATCAATTCATTATTTTTCTTTAATAATATTTGTTATTACATAGTTTGTATATTGTAGGCAGTGTTTTAAAAGAAAAAATATAAGTATTTTTGTTTTTCATAAAATTATTAAAATTTCTTACAAAATTTTATATTTTGATGATTTTTCATTTAATTTTTGATTAAAAAGTAAACGAACAGTTTTATTTTTTAAATTAATTTAATAAAAAGTATAGAAAAAAAAAATTGTACAGTTTCTATAGAAAAAGAAAAACCCAGGACCCTATTACAGCAACTATTTTTTACTTTTGTTTTTTTTTTAGCAATTAATCGAGAAATTTGTAAAGTTTCTAAGTTAACTAAGAGTCAAAATACTAATAAACTATACCAATAAATAAAAATGCTTTTTTAAAAAGTAAAGAGGTAAAGGCAAAAGTAAAAGTTGCTGGTGCGATAGGAGCCAATAATATTAAATTAACAGAATCTGGAATATTATTTAATAAAATAAATAATAAGAAGTAAAAATCAGTTAAAAATTGCTCAAATACCTCATTATTCATTTGAAAGGAAAAAAAAAAGGGAAAAATTAGTTCTTAGAACCTTTTTTTTTTGCGGGAATAACAATCTTTTCCAACACAAATTGTTTTTGAAATTAAAGTGTATTCAGAGTACTTATCAAATTAGCCGCTTACAATAATTAGAAATTATATATATGTATATTGTATTCTGTTTTTATTTAAGAACGAAAAATTTCCCAAATATTTTCTTTAAATTTATAAAATTTTAAAGATTTTCAAAACATTGTATTTAATTATATTATTAATTTATTATTGGGTACAAAATATAAAACTTTGAAATAAAGCAATTTCTCTTGTTAAAAATATTTTTTTAATATTTTTGTATTCAATTTTTTTTTTTTTATTATTATTTTAATTAATTTGTTATCGCAATATTTAACACATATTATCGATTGTTGATATATATTAGTATTTTCCCCGAAAAAAAAAACAAAAATTTTAAATTTTTAAAAAGGAAATCATTTCATTTGAAAAAAAAATTAAAGAATAAATAAAGAAATATGTAATGGTATTTCTGAAAATTTCAAGTAACAGAAACTAACTAAATAATATGTAAAACTATTAAATAAAAAAGAAAGAAAATGTGTTAAAAATTCTGTTTTTTAAACACAAAACTTAATAAAATATATAAATTTTATATGAATCTTGAATAAATTGTATTTATTTAAAATTAATTTTTAAATTGTTAAAAAAAAATAATTACTTTTTCTTTACTTATTAATTTATCTTTAATTACAATAGTTATAAATCTTACAACTTTAATATCATAGAAAGTATTAAATGAAAACGTAAATTGGAAAAATTTTTCATTTAAGAAATGTGAAGAAATCTCCCACTGAAAGCCTTTTTCTGGAGCCAAAATTTAACTTTAATCAAAAATTACGTGTTAAATTATTTAAAAATTTTAGAGACTTCTATCAAATTTTTCTATATCGAGGTAATTTTATAAGAGGGATTACTGTATTTTTATGTGTGACAAATAACGTTTGTATACTGACCCCAGGGGGCATCTTCAGAATGTCAAATTGATTTCTGACCGAAATTCAAGAATCACGATCTTTTTTAAATGTCTTAAATATGTCTGAAAACGTATATAAATGCAAAATTGTTTTTTACAATACTATTGAAATTATACAAACTAATATTTGCCATTCATTATTTAACTGAAATCATTGTATATTATAATTTGTTCGCTTCTTAGAAATTGAACCTTTTGAAAAATGAACCAATGAAATATACAAATAACGTCTTACATGTATATGTATGTATGTACATGCTAACATATTTTTCGTATGACTTATTTTATTCAATATAAGTATGAGCATATTTGCGTAAATTGTTTACTCTGCAATTTTTGCAGAGTATTTTAGTAAATGCTTACATCTTCCATATTGTTTTCACGAATCACTTGAGATTATGTGATATGGATATTGTTCAAAAATTTCTACTTCTCTAAATTCTCTAAATTTTCCAAATAAAATTTAATTGAATTTGATTCATGTACCATATCACTTAAATGTACGTACATATATACATGTATATACATATTATGTATGTGCATGTATGTATTTACATAAATATGTTGTACAATATTGCATAATAAAAATATAGAAAACGGGAACTTCCCTTTTCATTTAGACTAATAGAAAAAATAATTCAAAAAACAAAAATGATTATTAATCAGATAAAAATTTAATTACAATATATCAAAATTTACTTTACATGATAACAGACTTGATTAAATGCTAAACTACTTTTTTTTTTGTGTTCTGATGAAAAATATGAATATATTTTTTATGATTTTAAACGAAAAACAGAATCTGAAACACGAACAATTAAAGGATCTAATTCATTTCTAGTAAGAGAAGATCGCCAAAGTGTTCTTAGTGTATCTTCAGCTATTTGTAGGGGTAAACCTTGAAAAAAAAAAACAATGTATATAAAATCTTAGCAAATATACATACGTAAGTATGTATGTAATTAAGATGTACCTTCAGACTTGGGGTCTATTATAAGTGATAAGAATATTACAACTTTCCTAACTATAGGGCTAAATTTGTCGCAAATAGTATGTAATGCTCGTGCTGCTGCTCCTGGAACCTGTAAATGAAAAATTTTATATTTTTTTTTTTTTTCAAATCCATTAAATTAGGTACTAGCTAGGTAGTATTAAATACTTACCTCATTTAAATTTACTGTGACAACCAAAACACCACCATCATGAATATCTTTTTTATATTTTGCAATAGCAATTCCATAGTCATCGGAATCAAAATCATCCTTCGTAAATGTAATTGGTTCTAATTCTTTATCTAATAAATTTGTTATCAGGTTTTTCTTTATAAAAAAAAAAAATTAAATTTTACCAAAACAAGATGCGGTTAAATATGCTATATCTTCAACGAAATTCGTGTTCACGGCCGTTGAACTATTATCACGCATAAACAAATAGACACTTGGACCTTCAGGATTTTCAAGATTTAAAATGTCTTCGATTCCATATTTCAAAGCCACCCATAAGCTTTTATCTTCTGAAGGGTACCTTTTAATTAATCGATTGAAATTGCAAACTAATCTAGGTTTCGTGGCATAGCCATAAAGTGCGCTATAATCTGTTTTAACAAATACAAAGCCAATCACTATTGCTATTAATAAGAATAATAATATGTTTTTCCATTGCTTTGGGGGATCATCAATAGTCTGACATGATGCTTCATTCAATATGGTTTGATTTTCTTTCGGGGATTTCCCTTTTTTGCCTCCTGGAGATACACTTCGCAGTCTTTCATCTCTGTTGTAATCACCTCCAATTTCTTGATTTACAGGTTCATTTTCTTGCAGAGACGAATCTTCTGGCAATTTCGTTTTACTTCCTTTTGTTTTAGATTTCGGATGATCTGTTTTTTTAACAATGTATGAAAAATTTTTTGAAAATTTTTGTTTATTGTTTTGGTTCTGCAATTACATATTATTTTGAAACTTGCCTTGTATTATTTTTGATTTTTGTTGCAACATATTTTTCTCCTTATCTTGTATGTTACCGGTGTTGTTCGCGTGAATCGGTTTCCTTTTTAAACTATCTGCCATGTCTTAAAATTATACTTATTAACCAATAAAATTCTATGCGTTCAAAAAAAATTTAAGCCAATTTGAATGTAAACATGAAAAATGACAGCAGTGGTTTATTTTATCGAAATTCAAATAAGTATCGATTCATTGAATTATTGATATGTTTTTGTGAAATTCGAAGGAATCGATGTTTTCTAATAATCAAAAGCAATAATAGTTTAATTAATTTATATGGAGGAATCCGCATGCCAGTTAAATAAGCACACCTTCACAAAATTTTTCTTGTCTAGATTTAATTGTTTAATTTTCTATAATTCTTACTTCCAATCTTATATATGTATATGGACTTTAAGCCAAAAATATTTTGACAAAAGATTTTTTTTTCATTCTTTGTTTGCTAGGCATGCGAATTTGTATTTTTTTTGGTTCAAATGTGAAGAAACATCTGACAACAACGCTTTCATACCCCAAAAAATTGAAATAGACCTTTAATTTAAATTAAGTAAAAATTTATAAGATTAAGTCTAATAAGAAAAAATTGTGTTTTGGTTTTTCGTTTGTCAAATTTAAATATGGTATTTATTTTGAATATTTTATGCATAATGAAAGTTGTAAAAACTTTATGTGTACGCTTTCATATATTATCCAATATATATTTTATAATAATCATGTAAAAATTCTATAAGTTTATTTAAATTTACATACATACATACATTGTAAACGATTAATTTACCATTATGTGCCTATAACACATACATGCAAATGTACACTTATTATTATATGATTCTTATAAAAGTTGCTTGTATTAAAAATTTAATTCTAAAAAATCTAAGTTATCAGTTTTAGATAAACATTCTGTAAATCCGGGAATACTGCCTTGTTCATTGTTTTGATTTTTCCTTATTTTATTGTTCTTTACACTTTCAATTTCGTTTTGATTTTTTTTATCATCATATCTAGTAGTTGTTTTAATTTTCTTCAATTCTGGTAAATCTAAATTAAAATTTATTTCATTGTCATCAAATAAATGTGGCCTTTTGTTGGCGTTTGTGTTGCTTAAAGGACTATTAAACTTTTTAAAATTGTTATTTATAAATTTATATCCTGAATCAGAATTTTGAGCAAAATTCCAAAATTTTTTTACTTGATTCGTACTTTTTCCTCCAACTGAAACATTTGTACTTTCTAATAAAAAACCTGTTGTACCTTCATTTTCCCCTATGAGTTTGATTGACTTGGATGATCGATTTAAATTTGAATTAGAAAGTAGTTCTTCCGAAGATTTTTCAACAAAATTCTTTTTAGAATTGTAATCATTTTCAAGGATAATTGATTTAGTATTTAATTTTTGGGGAGTTGAATTCATTTGTAACTTTTGTTTGCTGCTAGTTGACCTGAATATATTTTCGAAATCACTATGATAATCAGGTTTGTTACATCCTTTTTTAGTATTTTCTTTATGTAAACTAGTTCTTGATTCTTCGACCATTTTATGTGGAAGGCCAACAAATTTACCTTGGGACAAAATATTTTCAAATCCATCGTCAAAATAATCATCTATAAAATGTGAAGGAAGTTTCTTTGTTCCATTTTTGTTTAAAAATTTTCGAGATTTACAAAGAGATTGTTCATTTTCAGTTTTATTAGATATTAATATATTATGCGTTTCTTCTAAAGCGTTTGCTTCTTTAGAAAAGATATTTTTTCGTAAATTAGTATTTTCAATATGCTGATGAAAATATTCTCGATTTGTTATATTAAATTCTTTTGTTACATTTCGTCTATCATCAACGAGAAATTCTCTGCATTCCTCATCAGCACTTAAAATGCTTTGACTATTTTGTTGAGCATCATTGCGCGATACATATTCCAGGTCAGTTTTCGTCTGAAAATTATTAACTTCTATATTGTAACCAAAAATTTTTTGTTTTTCTTCTATAATATTCATTTTTATATCACTTAGATCTAAAGCATCCAAAATTATTGATATTGTGCTGTCGTCTATTAATAATTGTTCACTTTTCTTTGTAAAATGCGGTGGTTTTATGATTTTTCCAAACCCCCATGTTGCTTCTAATAATTCTATTACAATAATTGCATCGAAAGCAAGTACTTCATTTCTAAACATTAGACGAGCATGCGATTGAGCCAAACGATTAATACTGTCTAACATCCTAACTGTTGTTCTAGATAGATCACGCTCAAAATTAGATCGATAATATTTATAATAAGAACCTAACACAATGTGGGCTAGATTATGAAACTTAGGATTGATTTCCCTTATTGCTGCAAAATGAGATTGTAATCTTTGTTGGCTTAACAATTGCAAGTATCTGGCTTCACAAGCATTTTTTGTCAATTTCAGTAAGTGATCAGTGATTTGCAAATCCATTTCTATTTCTCGGTCGTCATTTACTGCAAAAATTAAATCAAACCGACTTAAGAGTGGACCTCCAATATCCAAATTGGAAGGCAAAAATTTTTCAGTTGTTTGTCTAGTTGATGATTTAAAGTTAGCAGATGCTAATATAATACATTGAGTCTGTAATTTGCAAACCAAACCAGCTTTGGCGATACTAATCGTTTGCTGTTCCATTGTTTCGTGTACAGCAGCTTTGTCATGTTGATGCATTAAATTGAATTGATCTATGCAACATAATCCTCCATCAGCAAGTACTAATGCGCCTGCTTGCAAATTCCAATCATTGCCATCTTTGAAGGCTGCAGCCGTCAAGCCTGCTACAGAACAACCTAAACCATTTGTATGTATTGCTCCTGGAGTAATTTGGCAAATTGCATTTAGCATTTTGGATTTTCCTGACCCTGAATCTCCAACTAATAAAATATGAGACTGATCTCGCTTTTCATTTATTTTCTTTCTTTTAGCATGAAATCCAGACGATAAGGCCAGAGCAAGCCCCAGTTTGATGTAACTCATTCCAATTATTTCTGGACAAATAGAATCTACTAATAAGTTGCGAGCTTTAATTAAACCTAAGCTATCAACATTTTCTTGCCATTGAGCTTGTGCACAAAACATTTGCTCGTCAAAATCTTTGCATATGTTATTGGGTTTATTATTTTCCTTTACTATACTGTTTGCCCGCAACGACAACACATGTAGTCCTCGGGATCCAACGTTTAAGCTTCGCCATCGTGCTTCTACTACCCCACAAATTGTTACACATTCACCTGGTTTACAAGAATTAACCAAGTCATTTTCAAGGCATATAATTAAAGATGTCGGATAATTTCCACAATCTGTGGAAACAAATTCTTGAATTTTGATTTGTTGAAAATCCATGCAATATTCAGGTTTAGGTAAATTATTTTTTAGTCGAAGTATACCTTTGCAATTTCCTATATTAAGACAACGCTCTGGAATATCAAATTTATACATTTTCCCATATTGGGCTTCAAAGATAAAAGTGGAATTACATTTTGAACAAACCATTTCACGTTTAATTTCTAATAATTTTTCTTGTGACATTTGGATAACATTCCCCTTAACTTGAACAAAAAGTCCTATACATTCATTATCTGGAAAAATGCCACATAAAATATCTTCGTTAATCGGTAGATTTGTAAATCGAACATGACAGTTTTCTTTAATTGTATAATCGGAATCTAAAAAACAATCTTCTTGAGCAATTTTATTTTGAATATTTAATAATGCAATGTCCCATTCACGTTCTATTTTATGTATGTCATTAATAACTTCTCGATAAAGCTTAGCATTTTGAATTTTCAAAGTATTTAAACTCACTGTTATTGATGCATGAACTGATTCTGAATGATCGTTTAATAAATTATTAATTTCGCCTTTGTAATTGTCATACAAAAATTTTTCATATTCGCTAAACATTCTTTTAATTTGTTTTGTTAGACAGTTGATTTTAAAATGAATTTATGCTCTTCAATGAATTTTTTTATTTATTTTTCGTTATTACTTTGCTTTCAATTTGAATAATAAACAATAACAAAAACAAATTCCGCCTAATTCAAATGTCAAAAAAATATTGCTAACCCAGCATTTACACATACAAGTTACTTGCATGCAAGTTTGTATAATATTAATTGTCAATTAGTTTTTCGAAATGTCAAATTACTTGCTATTATGATGTAGGCGTTTAGCAAGTTAATTTTTGAAAATGTCTTTGAGAAGAAAACAACTAGCAATATATATAATTGTTTATAAATTTTAGAAACCATAAGTTTGCTAAGTTTAATTTTTTCAAAACAAAATTCAAAAATTTTAAATTAAAAAAAAAAAAAAATCAAAACAACAAATTTTTTTTTGTGAATTTCTCAATATGTCAAATTACTTGCTCAAATTACTGGCAGCAAAATTTTCTTGCAAGTTGAACTGCAAGTAAACAAGCAAGTAGAAATATTTCAATGTGTTAGTAAAATTTTTGTATGTATTGCAACTTTCTTGCAAGTAACTTGTACGTGTAAATGCTGGGTAAGTAAAGAATAAACATCTGTTCAATATCAATTAGAGATGGCAGGTGAATAAACTAATTTAGTTTTGCTTTATGATCACGGTTAGCTATGGTAGCACGATGACTCTTTCATCAGTGGCTAGTTCCAAATTGGTCTTCTTCTTTCACTCAAATTTTTATTTTTGAATCTACTTTATTTTTATACTATTCATTAAAAAGTAGATTCTTTGGACATATTCTATTATACATCTTTTTTTTTCTTTTATTATATTTTTTATATTACACAAATAATTCTGATCCAAAGGATTATACAACAATGAATATTTTTGTAGTTCATTAATAAGGATTACAAGGATATTTTACAAATTTTCTGGTAAATTAACGTAGTTTAGAAGGTAAAAAATTTAACTGGTATAATCAACATGTATTCTGAACTATGTATTACTGATTTTAAAATTTTTTACTTCTTTTCAAAATCAAATTTTGTATTATAAAAACAATTTCTATTTTATATTATTGTTTGCACACAGTATGAAAATTCAGGTAATGAAAAAAAAACGACCAGTGTATACATACGGATTAACTGATAACGACCGTATGTGTAAGAAAGGAGCTTGTATGAACTTATATGTATGCATAGCGTGAATATTCTTAAGTGAATATTATTATAACTAGGATTATTATAACTACGATTAAAAAGGGAATTATAAAATACATATTTTGTTTTATTTGCTATATATTATAAAATATGTACATTTTATACAATATATAAAATAAAATAATCTAACCTAAAATTTTAAATGAATTTGCAAATTATAAAAAGTATTGAATATTAAAAAAATCTTCAACATTATTTGTAATTTCTTAATATTAAAATTTGCACAATCATAAAACAAGTGATTTTTGATTAAAAAAAAAAATTGCCTGTAAAGAGTAAAAAACGAATGCTAAAACGCAAGCGATCTTTCTAAACAAAAATAAAAAGAAACCAGGTACAAAACAAAAACACTTCGTCAATCTCATTGATAGTCATTCATTATCAATTAGATCTTTAATTTTGATTTTACATCAAACCTTAAAAGACCACGCAAAATTTTTCACTGCTAATGTTAGAAAAAGGGGAATACATACCCCTTGAAACTCATGTCATAAGAATTTCCAATTAAGATGCTCAAAATTTTTGCTTACTATTTTATAAGTGAAAAATTTTCAACATATTGATTACTACAAAAAAAATGAAAAACTTGTGCAAAAAACAATCGCTCGTTCTATGAGTGCAATCCATACAAAAAGGATTTTTGAAATTTCTACGATTTCAAATGAAAAACCTTTTTAGAAAGTAGAGATAATAACATATCAATTTTTTTCTTTGCTAAAAACGGTGTAAAAAAATCACGTACAACATGTTGTATTGGTTGCGTAGACAGTCCTATAATTGAATGAAAATGAAAAATTAAAAAACTAAATTGAAAAATATGATTTATCCTACCTTCAAGATCACGATTGATTACGAGAGATAGAAATATAACAAGCTTCTTTGATACTAGTCCATTTTCAAATACTAAATCCAAAGTTTCAGCTGCTTTATCAGAAATCTAAAATATTTAGAGTCTTGCATTAAATTTTTTAACAGTAAATGTATTAAAAAACGCTATACCCCATTTAAGTGAATCAACATTATTACAATTTCATTTGCTTCAATGCTATTTGCTATTTGATTAACAGTTTGGCTTGAATCTAAGTCATTCCCCTCAATAATAATTGGTTTTAAGTTTTTTTCTACAAAAATTTAACCGTTTTTGAATCATTAAAATAATATAGTTCGTTTTATGTTACCGAAACAAGAAGCCGATAAATCACAAATATCTTTCATTATATGGTTTGAAATCATATTTTGGTTTTGCAAAAATAAATAAATATTTGGTTTTTCAGAATTTTTAAAATTAATGATATCTTCAATTTCATATTTTAAAGTCATTCATAGACTTTCTTCTTCCAAGGGATATTTATTTATTAATTTATTAAATGGACATATTTTTTTTTCAAACTTACGAACCTTTTCATCAGATAAATATATGTTATATCCACAAATGGCTACTAAGCAAACTGCTATAATGCTAACAGCAATTAATGTAAAAGCTATTATTTGATAAGTAAATTTACTTGCAAGCTGTTTCGTTTTGGTGTTGGAAGACGGAATAGCGGCTTTATATTTTAATGACATTTTTTTAGAATTTCTTTCATCTAGGTTATTTCTATTAAGTCCTTGTTTTTCTGATTGATCATCAGGAAAGTCTTGAGTTGTGTTACTACTTCGTAACCTTAAATCATTAGAAGCTTGTGTAAATATTTCTCCCTCCGGATATTTTATTATTTCATTTTCAAAATCATGAAGACTTAAGGTTTTTGAAAGCTCATAGAGATTAACTAATGGATCTAAAAATATGAAAAATTTTGTAGAGAAAAAATATACAAAACAAAAATAATGATTACCTACCTTGTTTTTGTTTATTATCTTCTATTGAAGTTGATTTACAAATAGAATCTTTCAAATGTTTTTCGCGTTCTGCCTTTTTGAATATTTCTTTTTTATTTTCAGCCATAATAAAATGTTTATTTATTTATTTTAAAAATGTATTTTATTTCAAATTTCATAATTCAAGTCCAGTACACTGAATTATAATTTGTAAACATTAAAGAATGTTAAATTTTAATTTTGTGCAGTTGCCTTATGTTATACTAATATGTGAAGTAATATTGAAAACCTCAAATTCACAATTATATCGAATGTCAAACATTTTATGATTACATTTTTGTATCATTCATTCAACATCGATTTTTGTCGTATTTTGCAGCACTTATATAAATTTTCCTAAAACAATAAAATCTTTTTAGGTAATTTATTCTTTACGACAATTTAATTAAAATTGAAGTGATTAATTATTTTTTAAAATTTAATATTAATATTAGTATAATTTTATTTACTATTTATTACTATTTAAGTGCATAATATGGTATTGATTACTTCGAACTACTCAAAAATGCACTAAGTCATTGTAGTCAATAATTAATATGTTCACCCCTGCCAAAGAAAAAAAGAATGTCATTTAATACTTTGCAAGAACTTTGATGTTTAGGATTACAATTTTTCAGAAATGTCTGATTTCTGATTATTATATACTTAACAAGATTGAGAACAAAATATTTTCTTTTAGGTATTAAAAATTCGATTTTAAATTGGTAACGTGTTAGAAATATTATATTAACTTCAAGTTAAAATTGAATTCGGGTGAGAAAATAAAAATGACACGATATAGCTTGAAATTAAAAACTAAGCAAGGTCAACATGTCTTAAATAACTTGGAAGAGTCAACTACAATGCAAGATTTGAAATCCAAAGTTACAGAAGCTACAAAATTTTCATCATTTAATATTTTAATAGGATTTCCACCAAAATCTATAGATATATCGAATGAAAGTGAGTATGTATTTTGGATTTATTATAATTTAGTGGTTTGTTCTCTTAAATTCGTTATACAAGTTTTTCCTGTCGGATGTGAAAACAATATGAATATTATTTACTTTATTTTAGAAAGAAAAACAAAATGCATTACGCAGAATATGTTTTAATTAGTTTTTTGAATTTAACGTATATATATTTATTAAATTTATTAAATTAAATGCGTCAACTTCATTGAAAATTTGCTCTTATATAAGAGAAATCAAAGAATAAGTATAGAAAATTATTGAACATTTACTGTTGTATGTAATTAGTATTGATTAATTAATTTTTGTTAAGGGACTAGTATAACTAATATCTATTCAATTGAATATTTTAATAATATTTAAAATAATTAAATTTTAGGTAACAGTTTAAAATCTTTTGGAATTAATAGCGGTGATACACTTATCATAGAAGAACGACCCAATATCGTTGAAGAAGATGAAAAACTAGCCCGTCGTTTGGCTAATGAAGAAGAGGAGAGTCGTCATTTGCAAAGCCTGGCAAATAGTTCAAATGGTGGTGAATTTGAAGGAATATTATTAAAAAAGGTAGTTCCTGCTGATAATTCTTGCCTCTTCACAAGTATTGGTTTTGTGTTAAATGGCGTTATAAATACTGATAGTGATGTTTTTATGCGTCAAATAATTGCTCAATGTGTTGAAAACGACAAAGAAACGTATAACGAAGGAATATTAGGAAAACCAAATTCGGAATACTGTGAATGGATTCAAAAATCTGATTCATGGGGTGGTGCAATAGAAGTATCCATATTATCAAGTTTTTATGGAATTGAAATTGATGTAGTAGATATAACAAATGCTATTATTAATAGATTTGGTGAAGATAAAAATTATGGAATGAGAGTTTTCCTTCTCTTTGATGGAATACACTATGACCCTTTATATATGGAATCATTAACGGTAATTTTATTTATTTTAATTTGTGAATACCATAATTGAAAGGATTTTTTGGATTTAGGGTGGTCCACCTAAAACCATTTTTCCAGTTGAAGAAGAGGGTGTTTATTTACAGGCAGAACAAATAGCACAAGAAGCAAAATCATCTCGTCAATTTACAGATATTAATAAATTTTCCCTTAGATGTATACAATGTGACACAATGTAAGCCACAATCAATTCTGAAAAAAACCATTTTTTTTATTTTTAATTTTATTTGAAGGCTGGTTGGAAAAGCTGAAGCTCAAAAGCATGCAATGTCAACAGGTCATACAAACTTTGGGGAAGTTTGAAATAATCTTAAGTATAAAAGCATTTAATACCTCAAAACAAAAAATACTGTACACATATATACTTATGTATTTAAAATGTATGTAATTTAACCAGTTTTCACTTTTTCATTATATGGTTTATTTCATAAACTATAATTTTAATCATACACATTTTATAAAGACATAGTTTGCCGCAATTATTTTTTTTTTATTTAGAATTAAAAACAATATATAAATTAACTGTTAGCTGAATTGAAATACTTGCAAAATTTTATTATTGTATGTTAGTCTCTAATTAATAATTTCAGATTTTTTTGAGCATCAAAATTTTATTTGTTTAAGAATTTAATATGTACATGTTTTTAAATATTGCTTACAATAAAATTAATTTGGTAAATAATTATAACCATATTTTATACTGAAACTCTTACTGAAAATTTAATAGAATAGAATATTCTGCTATTGATTTGTGACATTATAATTCGATTTTAATAAATAGAAATTTATTTTTTGAAAATAAAAATTTTTAATTATTGGAAATTTTTTTTTTTGTAATGAAAAACAAAGAAAATTAATGTTATGATGCCCATGGTGGTGTCATTGGCGCAGGGTTTTGAAGATATGACATTACTACAGCACTCACACTTAACATAAAAGATGAAAGAACCTACAAATTATAGAGTTTTTAGCTAAAGATGTTTTTAAAATGCATTTTGTAATTTTATTAAGAAACTTACCTGTTTTGCATCATCATTTATTTTTGAATTTGCAAAACTTATACAGGAACAGTATAAAGCAAACCAAGCGCACCATTTGAGTTTCATCATGAGGCCACACATTGAAAATATCATCCCTGCAATTTGTTTAAAAAAAAAAATGATTTTTTGTGTTTTGTACAATATGAAATTTAAAGTATTAGAAGCAACCTATATCATGATTACATACACATATGTATGAATATCGTTTCTATAAAGTATTTTAATAAAATATTTATATATTATGTATAAGTAAATTTAATTTATTTTATTAATTTAAACTTCTTCATCATATCTATTCCTGTTGCAAAAACCAAAATAATCCTATGTGTACACATGCAATGTGCTGGTATTATGATTTCTAGATTTTTTTTAAATAGCAAAAGTAGTGCAATTTTTTATTTACCTAATATATTCATATAATCAGGCATCAGATCTTCTCCTGCCCCTCCATTTGCTTGACCAAGTGCTTTATATCTTACCACCTAAAAACATTAAATTCTATGTAATACTAATTTTTTTATGAACATTTTACAATACTTTTTCACGCCTTCTTGGATCATTTGTAGAATTCATTTTGACTAAAATATGTGAATAATAAACGAGTGGGAACCAAATAAATAACCAACCTACTTATGAAAATGAAAAATTTCACGTACTAGATATTGAACATATGTATGTATGTATGTAATTTTGCACATATATACTATAAAAATATTACGATAAGCTAGTGCAAGCAATATGTTCTTGACAAGAGTATATTTCAAAGTCCCATTTGATGTTGTCAAAATTTGACATTTTGGGAAATAATGTGTGAGGATGTGAAGTATCAACGATTTTGAAGTTTGTGAATACCCAGTGAACAAAGTTTATTTTGGAAGAAATTTTATGAAAAAGAGAAGCAATACTGTTCCCATTTTAATTTCTCAAAATTTAAAAAGCGATTTCAAATTGAGATTATTCTATGCAAAACTTATTTTCTATTGTTATTAGTTTTTATCATAAAAAATTCAAATAGAGAATTTGTCAAGCCCAAAAAAGAACAAGGAAGTCTTTAAAGGCAATATGATAATTACATCTTTATCATAGTCATAGCGAGAAGCGTGCCGTTTTGAATTAGAAGTACCGTTAACACTGTCGGATATATAAATGTAAAATAAAATAATGTCTATTAGAAAAATATCTGAACAAGTGTACACTTACAAAGTATATAATATGCAAAGCGAGTCAGTAACGAATGCTTTAACATACACCATAATTCAGAGCGTATCAAAAATGGGTAAAATTTTTGTTTGGAATTGGACATGATACTCGCCCTTATTATCCGCTCTAAGAATGATATGAACTTCGAGAAAAGTTTTTTTAAATTCACTGAAGGCTTTAAGATAATGGTTGACCTGATTTCGTGCTCCTTGTACTTTCAGAACAACAAACATTGCAAATTTTGAATATTTTGATGTAAGAATGAGATCAGCATTTAAATAGATGGCATTAAACTTATTGCTTACTCATTATTAAGGTGGAATCTTAAACTCATTAAAGGTAAATATACATATACATATATGTACGTAGGTATGTGCATAAAAATGTTGTCTAATTTAAATTTAGTATAAAAAATAGTATAAAATTTCCTTTTCATAATAAGTAGAAACTAAAAGTTATTGGGCATTTTAGACATTTTTAAATAATTTACACAGAAAAAAAACTCTTAACATTATATCATTTATTGTCTTTGTATCAAAAAATATTGCTAACATTACAATAGAAGAGAATTATACTACAAAAAAAAAAATGATACAATAAATTAGAAAAGAAAATTTATTTATTTTATTATATAATTTCTATATTTTTATTTATTTTATTTTATGTATTTAATATTATGTATATGTATATATAATTAAGTTTCTTCGTCTACTGGTTCTTCGTCTTCTAATGTGTGACATATATCTGGAAATGAATCATCTATTCCTTCTGTCACACCCGCTTCCGATCTAAAATATTATTAATAAGAAAAAAATTTAAATGTACATTATAAAATATATAATAAAAAGTATTCAAATATCAATTGGCTTACTTATCCATAAAATCATCTCGTTGAGGTAATAACCCTTCATCACCTTTAAAATTACCACTAAATTTAAATATTGTGCATAGCCTTAAAATAGCTAAAATTATTAGAAATACACCAGCTACATAGCTTAACCATAAATTATGAGGCCAAAATATTAAAGCTGTACCATAGGCAATATAAAATGGTGATAAACGCCATGCTCCAGCAATTCTACATATACTCCAGCACAGAATACAACTAGATGAATAATTTTCGCTAAAAAAAAAATGTATACATTTGTGTGTACATACATAAAAAAATATTTAATTTAAATACAATTTTAATGAATGTGTACATTCATGTAACAATAATAACATATTCCAAGACTTCAAAATTTTTAATAATCAGCGTGCTCGTAGAAATTGCTAAAATATGTAGTAGCATCATAGCAATCTTATATTTTTGAAGTCACGGAATAATTTTATGTGTATATACATACATACATATGCATCAACTAACCTTGCAAAAAGTAATTGAACAAATACTGTAATCACCCATTTTACTTCAAAAAACAGTACTAATATTGATCCGATTCTAAAAAAAATAAAATATAGTAATTTGTTTCAATTATAATTTTACAACTTACAATATAAAAATTCCAGCTTTGTGGCCATGAACATAAATATCTACACCAACTCCCACACAGACTGAAAAAATATATAGAAAAGAAAAGAAATATATTAGAAATAGAAATTGAAATTAAAGAATAATAAAATTTATAATGTTAATATAAAATTTAAATTAAGCAATTGATCTTATAAAAATTAATTCATATATTCAAATGGTTTTTAAAAACTTTTTATACCAGACAGACCTGGTGTTAATAAAATGAAGTCTAAATTGACATCTAAATTCCTGTTATACAAAATTTATGGTGAATGACATACAACTATTTTAAAATGTTCAACTCTTGAACTCAAACGGTATTGTTTTCTGGTAATAATTAGGTTTTTAGGCTCATCAAAGGTTCACTTGTATTACTTTTTAATATATTTGAACAAAGTAGATTAGAGATTTTCTTGTATGTAAGTGAATTATTTTTCCATATGTAAAAGCACTTTCTTCATTCGTATTTTTCGAAATATTCAGTTTTTGTGCAATAAATATATTAAGAAAATTTAATGTAGAAATTATGAGGCATAGAACTTTCGAACAACATGCACACAAAAAATAATAAACCAGAAAAAGAAAAAGCAAAATTACATTTAATAATAAAAAAAAGAGAACATTTTCTTCTGTATTGCATTGCATGCCTGTTGAAATCAACAGTTTTGTTAAAATTTCGAGTATTTTCGTTTTATGAGAATATTGTGAGTACGTTAAATAAAAATATGTATGTACATTTAATGTAGGGTATTGTAAGAAGCCTAAAAGTATGTTAAATGTAATTAAAATTTACGTTAGTAAACTGAAGTGCCACTATATACACAAAATAATATACAATTAATAATTTAATATACATACATACATATTCACATATATGTAAATATGAAAAAAGGGAATTTTTTTTTTAAATTTTTAAAAGCATATGTAAGATTCCTTGCTCAAGTACTATGGTTAGTTATTTCTAAAAGAGAAACTTACAGTGATTTATACATAAAAATGTATGAGCTATTGTCATTTTTTTTTCTAGTTAACGATTTCCCTTAAATTATATTTCATAATAATAATAATAATAAAAATAATACAAAGATTATAGGAATTTTATTTTCTCATATATTAATATAAAAAATTATTTAATGCTTTGTCTTTATGTATGAATGTATGTATATAAAATATAAAAATATGTCTTCTTTAGGGCTTTAGGTTATAAGGGAAAAGGTTGCGTTTTTGTGCATAAAAAGAAAGAAAAGAAAAAAAAATGAACAAATATAATCTAATTTTTCACGGGTTAATTCTCTTCAAGGGCACTTACAAAAAAAAAAAAAGTCAAATAAAAGAGAAACAAACAAAAATAAAAAATTTCCTGTTTCTCTTGTTTTTGTCTGTTCTGTATCAATTCTGTTCTTTAAATTTTAACATTTATATTATATAAATGTTTGAAATTGACACAATTGCCTTAAAAATAAAAACAAAAATAAAAGGAAATCAAATAAATAGCTAATCTCAAAAAAAAATTTTTTTTGTATAGCTTTAAATACAAATAAAATGAGTAGATAATATTATTGGAATGAGTAACACAAGGAAATAAATATAAGATCAAATGGGTAGATTATTTGATTGTATTAGTCACCCTTATATATTTATATAATTTTGAAATTTTATAAATTAAGTGACTTTATTTCGTAATTATTTTACAAAACATACAATTTTGTCTTGCTATTTTTTTGAAAATATAATAAAAATAGTGTTTTTTGTTCCGATTCAATGTATCGTGGTATCGTACTCGTCAAGTGAGAAAAAAATAGTGTGTAAATATCACGTATTTTTATAATGTTATATTCGAGTCTATCTCGATATTTTACTCGAAAAGTGAAAAGAAAGTGAATAACTATCATATACGTGTGTAATGTAATTTTCGAATGAGAAGAATTATTTGGTATTGAAAAAAAATTAAAATTCTGATTTAAAAATGGATAAAAAGTGAGGCGAAACACAATTAGACTGTCTGTGTTTGAGACAAACATTTTTTTTTTGATTTTATTTTATTAAAGTTCGTAGGCGTCTATGAAAAAATTTCAATCAATTGAGAGTTAGAGCCAGAGAGTCTTAATCTAGCATAAAAGTTATCAATGATTAATTTGAAGAATATTAAGAGACAAAAATGTTGCCTAAAAATTATTTCAAATTTCACATAGAATTGTGATTCAATATTACAAATTGTAATTACACGACTGCTAATTCGTGTTTAAAATGCATAATTTATTTAATTGTTCATTTAAAATTTATTTTTTGCTATAAGAAATGTTTCATGAGTTCTTTTTAAATTCTTTTTAAGAAAGAATCTATTAAAATTTTTCAAAATTGTATAGAAAAATTAGAAATTTTATTTTTAATTTTAGTTTTTATAAAACAAAAATAAAATACAATTTCTATATAGTTTTAAAGAGAATGAAATGTCCTTAGAGTCAAAAAAAAAACAAATAACAAGTTATAAAATTTCAAGATAAAAAACTTTTCTTATCCTTTGGTCGATTTTTTGGGTTTTTTTTTTCTTTTTATATTGTTTTTTTTTGTTAAAAGGAAATTTAAGCGTAAAATTGTATTAGGAAATTCATTAATATTTGTTTTTTATAAGTAGAAAAATCAGGGGTTCGTTTTTTTTTATTTTTGAGTTTCTTTTTTTTTTTTGTATCTAATTTTACCATTCCTTCCAGTTGACTTTTATGAAATTTTAATGGAATTTTCGATTTCTTTTTTTTTTCGTCTCATATTCTTTTTTCTTTGTTATTTAGTTTTAAAGCACAATTTTATTTCCATTTGAATTTCCATATTTTTCAATTTAAACTGGAAAATGAATTTTTTTTCCGCATGTTTGCCTCTTTATTTGTATAGTTTTAATACAGTTTTGAGTTTTGTTAGCTTAAGCCTTAGCATGTTGTTTTGGTTACTGAATTATGTATATTAAAAAGTAGGTACTGTAAAGAAGAATAAAATTTAATCAGAATAATTTCATTGAAATAGAAAAAAAACAACAAAATGTCATGAACAAATTTAAAATTATGAAAACATTTCGGAAAAATTACCATGAATATTATTAAATTTTTTTCTTTTCTCTATCAATTAGGCTAGAATGCATTATTAAAGGTATATATTGTATACATTGTTGTCTACATGTCATTTTTATTTTAAGCATATGCGTCCTGTCTACGTATATTGTGAATTATTTCTCATTTTCATGTTAATATAATCACTGACATTGAATTTTGTAAAAAAAAAATCAAAAGTTCTCATACAAAAATAAAATTTCGTTTATTTATGTCAATTTTCTCATTATTTTATTTAAAATTTCCTTAATTTTAACTTTTTTCTTATACTGCGTACATTCGTTTAATATATTGTTTTAAACGCCATCAGTCAAACAACGTGCTGTTACTACATTTTATAAAATATTCTTTATTTAAATATCTGTATATATGTATGTACATGTATATCTGTATAAATTTACATATTTTTGTACGTGATTTTTCAAGGTCACTATCAACTTTACACTGTTAAAAATCTGGCATTATTAAAATTCATTTTTCATGCAGACATTCCTTCTCCTTTAGCATTCTCTCTTCATAATTTATTCTGTTATAAAAATATTCATAATTTATTCTGTTATAAAAAATCGATACATAATTGTGAATCGATTATACTCGTAATTATTTTAAATGACAAAATATTTATTATTGTAATTGTATGGGAAAAAAATAATGTTTTTATAATTAAAACATGATTAATAAACTGTTATTTTAAAAAATTTCAATTAAATATTTAATTTTCAGGTAATTTTTTCAAAATTTGTTTTTTTTTTTTCGAAACACAAAAAATTCTTAATAATCTTTTCAACGTGTCAAAATTTAAAGAGCTTTGACATTTTCTTGAAGATTTTTTCATCTTGTTCTAAAATTGAAAAAGTTAAATTTTTTATTATTATTTTTTCGCAAAAAAAAAAAAAAAACAAGAAAAAATTTAATAATTCTACTTTGTTGCTATTTTTTGTTTCAGTTGGTCTACGTAAATGGAAACAGTACATCTGAAAGAAAAATATATCCTGTAAGAGTACAAGGTTGTAAGTACGTATGTATATACATATATTTTTTTTATATAAGTACATTTTATTTTTGAACTCATAATAAATTTCTAAAACATTTTTCATAGTAAATCTCTTGAGAGAAATTTTCAAATTAAGAAAATATTTAATGTTAAGACAACATCATCATTCACAACATTGTCATCAACATCATATATATAGACATATACGTACATACATATAGTGATAATCATTAACGGGGATTTTTTTTTGTATTTACAAATATAACCATTTTCGTTTTTATAAATTCAAAAAAAATTTTGTATTTTTTGTTGCTGGCTTATACATATATAAAACCATGTCTATTTTGTTCGATTGTAATTCAAAATTTCGAAAGTTAAAATATTTGACATAAGAAAATTGTGAATAAGTAATCGATTTAAAATGTGCTTAGTTACTTTTTGAAGTAAATAAATTTTTACTAAATAACTAGTTTACTAGTACATTAAACTAATACATTAAGTTTTTTCCAAGTAAAATTACTATGTCTTATTCCTATCAAAATTTTAAAGTCTGATATCAAATAATGTTTTCATATATATACGACTTCAATGAGACTTAGATTAAATCTTTGATTTTGGTGTATAATGTAAATAGTGCCTTAAAGTACTTTTTCCTATTTCAGTTTGATTTTATATCATTCTATTATTAATGCTGATTGTATTAAATTAAATGCTGATTGTACAAGTTATAAAGTTGATTCGTATACATAACTGTAATGAAAATCAAAAGCAATATTGTGCTATGATTATGGTTATGGAGATTCACAATCAATTAATGGAAAATCAAAAATTGTTTGGTTAAACATTTATTAAAAATTATTGAACTTTTGAATCCGATTTTTTGAATTTTTTAAATTATCTAATAAGACTATATCGTAATTTTGATTGCTAAATGAATGAGTTAAAA